CTTCACATCCGTGGTTTCGATCGTTTCAGTGGTCACTTCCGTCACCTCCGTAGTCTCCTCCGTGATAGCTGGCACCTCCTCAGTCACTTCGACAATCTCAGTGGTCACTTCCGTCACCTCCGTAGTCTCCTCCGTGATAGCTGGCACCTCCTCAGTCACTTCGACAATCTCAGTGGTCACTTTCGTCACCTCCGTAGTCTCCTCCGTGATAGCTGGCACCTCCTCAGTCACTTCGACAATCTCAGTGGTCACTTCCGTCACCTCTGTCGTCTCCTCGTCGGTCGTGCCCGCAGTCGGCTTACGCTTTGGCTTACGGTGCTTCTTCGACTTGGGCTTCTTGCCCTCCGTCACATCCGTCTCATCCACGGTGTCTTCCGTCGTCTCGGTGGTGATCACTTCCGTCACTTCAATCACTTCCGTCGTCTCCTCAGGCTTCACATCCGTGGTTTCGATCGTTTCAGTGGTCACTTCCGTCACCTCCGTAGTCTCCTCCGTGATAGCTGGCACCTCCTCAGTCACTTCGACAATCTCAGTGGTCACTTCCGTCACCTCTGTCGTCTCCTCGTCGGTCGTGCCCGCAGTCGGCTTACGCTTTGGCTTACGGTGCTTCTTCGACTTGGGCTTCTTGCCCTCCGTCACATCCGTCTCATCCACGGTGTCTTCCGTCGTCTCGGTGGTGATCACTTCCGTCACTTCAATCACTTCCGTCGTCTCCTCAGGCTTCACATCCGTGGTTTCGATCGTTTCAGTGGTCACTTCCGTCACCTCCGTAGTCTCCTCCGTGATAGCTGGCACCTCCTCAGTCACTTCGACAATCTCAGTGGTCACTTCCGTCACCTCTGTCGTCTCCTCGTCGGTCGTGCCCGCAGTCGGCTTACGCTTTGGCTTACGGTGCTTCTTCGACTTGGGCTTCTTGCCCTCCGTCACATCCGTCTCATCCACGGTGTCTTCCGTCGTCTCGGTGGTGATCACTTCCGTCACTTCAATCACTTCCGTCGTCTCCTCAGGCTTCACATCCGTGGTTTCGATCGTTTCAGAGGTCACTTCCGTCACCTCCGTAGTCTCCTCCGTGATAGCTGGCACCTCCTCAGTCACTTCGACAATCTCAGTGGTCACTTCCGTCACCTCTGTCGTCTCCTCGTCGGTCGTGCCCGCAGTCGGCTTACGCTTTGGCTTACGGTGCTTCTTCGACTTGGGCTTCTTGCCCTCCGTCACATCCGTCTCATCCACGGTGTCTTCCGTCGTCTCGGTGGTGATCACTTCCGTCACTTCAATCACTTCCGTCGTCTCCTCAGGCTTCACATCCGTGGTTTCGATCGTTTCAGTGGTCACTTCCGTCACCTCCGTAGTCTCCTCCGTGATAGCTGGCACCTCCTCAGTCACTTCGACAATCTCAGTGGTCACTTCCGTCACCTCTGTCGTCTCCTCGTCGGTCGTGCCCGCAGTCGGCTTACGCTTTGGCTTACGGTGCTTCTTCGACTTGGGCTTCTTGCCCTCCGTCACATCCGTCTCATCCACGGTGTCTTCCGTCGTCTCGGTGGTGATCACTTCCGTCACTTCAATCACTTCCGTCGTCTCCTCAGGCTTCACATCCGTGGTTTCGATCGTTTCAGTGGTCACTTCCGTCACCTCCGTAGTCTCCTCCGTGATAGCTGGCACCTCCTCAGTCACTTCGACAATCTCAGTGGTCACTTCCGTCACCTCCGTAGTCTCCTCCGTGATAGCTGGCACCTCCTCAGTCACTTCGACAATCTCAGTGGTCACTTCCGTCACCTCTGTCGTCTCCTCGTCGGTCGTGCCCGCAGTCGGCTTACGCTTTGGCTTACGGTGCTTCTTCGACTTGGGCTTCTTGCCCTCCGTCACATCCGTCTCATCCACGGTGTCTTCCGTCGTCTCGGTGGTGATCACTTCCGTCACTTCAATCACTTCCGTCGTCTCCTCAGGCTTCACATCCGTGGTTTCGATCGTTTCAGTGGTCACTTCCGTCACCTCCGTAGTCTCCTCCGTGATAGCTGGCACCTCCTCAGTCACTTCGACAATCTCAGTGGTCACTTCCGTCACCTCTGTCGTCTCCTCGTCGGTCGTGCCCGCAGTCGGCTTACGCTTTGGCTTACGGTGCTTCTTCGACTTGGGCTTCTTGCCCTCCGTCACATCCGTCTCATCCACGGTGTCTTCCGTCGTCTCGGTGGTGATCACTTCCGTCACTTCAATCACTTCCGTCGTCTCCTCAGGCTTCACATCCGTGGTTTCGATCGTTTCAGTGGTCACTTCCGTCACCTCCGTAGTCTCCTCCGTGATAGCTGGCACCTCCTCAGTCACTTCGACAATCTCAGTGGTCACTTCCGTCACCTCTGTCGTCTCCTCGTCGGTCGTGCCCGCAGTCGGCTTACGCTTTGGCTTACGGTGCTTCTTCGACTTGGGCTTCTTGCCCTCCGTCACATCCGTCTCATCCACGGTGTCTTCCGTCGTCTCGGTGGTGATCACTTCCGTCACTTCAATCACTTCCGTCGTCTCCTCAGGCTTCACATCCGTGGTTTCGATCGTTTCAGTGGTCACTTCCGTCACCTCCGTAGTCTCCTCCGTGATAGCTGGCACCTCCTCAGTCACTTCGACAATCTCAGTGGTCACTTCCGTCACCTCTGTCGTCTCCTCGTCGGTCGTGCCCGCAGTCGGCTTACGCTTTGGCTTACGGTGCTTCTTCGACTTGGGCTTCTTGCCCTCCGTCACATCCGTCTCATCCACGGTGTCTTCCGTCGTCTCGGTGGTGATCACTTCCGTCACTTCAATCACTTCCGTCGTCTCCTCAGGCTTCACATCCGTGGTTTCGATCGTTTCAGTGGTCACTTCCGTCACCTCCGTAGTCTCCTCCGTGATAGCTGGCACCTCCTCAGTCACTTCGACAATCTCAGTGGTCACTTCCGTCACCTCTGTCGTCTCCTCGTCGGTCGTGCCCGCAGTCGGCTTACGCTTTGGCTTACGGTGCTTCTTCGACTTGGGCTTCTTGCCCTCCGTCACATCCGTCTCATCCACGGTGTCTTCCGTCGTCTCGGTGGTGATCACTTCCGTCACTTCAATCACTTCCGTCGTCTCCTCAGGCTTCACATCCGTGGTTTCGATCGTTTCAGTGGTCACTTCCGTCACCTCCGTAGTCTCCTCCGTGATAGCTGGCACCTCCTCAGTCACTTCGACAATCTCAGTGGTCACTTCCGTCACCTCTGTCGTCTCCTCGTCGGTCGTGCCCGCAGTCGGCTTACGCTTTGGCTTACGGTGCTTCTTCGACTTGGGCTTCTTGCCCTCCGTCACATCCGTCTCATCCACGGTGTCTTCCGTCGTCTCGGTGGTGATCACTTCCGTCACTTCAATCACTTCCGTCGTCTCCTCAGGCTTCACATCCGTGGTTTCGATCGTTTCAGTGGTCACTTCCGTCACCTCCGTAGTCTCCTCCGTGACTAGCTGGCACCTCCTCAGTCACTTCGACAATCTCAGTGGTCACTTCCGTCACCTCTGTCGTCTCCTCGTCGGTCGTGCCCGCAGTCGGCTTACGCTTTGGCTTACGGTGCTTCTTCGACTTGGGCTTCTTGCCCTCCGTCACATCCGTCTCATCCACGGTGTCTTCCGTCGTCTCGGTGGTGATCACTTCCGTCACTTCAATCACTTCCGTCGTCTCCTCAGGCTTCACATCCGTGGTTTCGATCGTTTCAGTGGTCACTTCCGTCACCTCCGTAGTCTCCTCCGTGATAGCTGGCACCTCCTCAGTCACTTCGACAATCTCAGTGGTCACTTCCGTCACCTCCGTAGTCTCCTCCGTGATAGCTGGCACCTCCTCAGTCACTTCGACAATCTCAGTGGTCACTTCCGTCACCTCTGTCGTCTCCTCGTCGGTCGTGCCCGCAGTCGGCTTACGCTTTGGCTTACGGTGCTTCTTCGACTTGGGCTTCTTGCCCTCCGTCACATCCGTCTCATCCACGGTGTCTTCCGTCGTCTCGGTGGTGATCACTTCCGTCACTTCAATCACTTCCGTCGTCTCCTCAGGCTTCACATCCGTGGTTTCGATCGTTTCAGTGGTCACTTCCGTCACCTCCGTAGTCTCCTCCGTGATAGCTGGCACCTCCTCAGTCACTTCGACAATCTCAGTGGTCACTTCCGTCACCTCTGTCGTCTCCTCGTCGGTCGTGCCTCCGCAGTCGGCTTACGCTTTGGCTTACGGTAGCTTCTTCGACTTGAGGCTTCTTGCCCTCCGTCACATCCGTCTCATCCCACGGTGTCTTCCGTAGTCTCCTCCGTGATAGCTGGCACCTCCTCAGTCACTTCGACAATCTCAGTGGTCACTTCCGTCACCTCTGTCGTCTCCTCGTCGGTCGTGCCCGCAGTCGGCTTACGCTTTGGCTTACGGTGCTTCTTCGACTTGGGCTTCTTGCCCTCCGTCACATCCGTCTCATCCACGGTGTCTTCCGTCGTCTCGGTGGTGATCACTTCCGTCACTTCAATCACTTCCGTCGTCTCCTCAGGCTTCACATCCGTGGTTTCGATCGTTTCAGTGGTCACTTCCGTCACCTCCGTAGTCTCCTCCGTGATAGCTGGCACCTCCTCAGTCACTTCGACAATCTCAGTGGTCACTTCCGTCACCTCTGTCGTCTCCTCGTCGGTCGTGCCCGCAGTCGGCTTACGCTTTGGCTTACGGTGCTTCTTCGACTTGGGCTTCTTGCCCTCCGTCACATCCGTCTCATCCACGGTGTCTTCCGTCGTCTCGGTGGTGATCACTTCCGTCACTTCAATCACTTCCGTCGTCTCCTCAGGCTTCACATCCGTGGTTTCGATCGTTTCAGAGGTCACTTCCGTCACCTCCGTAGTCTCCTCCGTGATAGCTGGCACCTCCTCAGTCACTTCGACAATCTCAGTGGTCACTTCCGTCACCTCTGTCGTCTCCTCGTCGGTCGTGCCCGCAGTCGGCTTACGCTTTGGCTTACGGTGCTTCTTCGACTTGGGCTTCTTGCCCTCCGTCACATCCCCCCCCCATCCACGGTGTCTTCCGTCGTCTTGGTGGTGATCGCGGTCGAACCAAGGTCCGACGTCATCGCATTCATCTCCGTGGCGGTCTCTGTCGTCGTCTCCGTCTCCACTGTCGTGCTCGTGGCTCCGCCCTTCGTCTCTGTCTCTGTCGTCGTCTCCACCTCGATCGTCGTCACAAGCTCACCGGCGGGGGACGTCTCCGTGCGTGTGGTCGTGCGTACAGTCTTGGTCACGATACTGCCATCGGCTTGTTTCGAGCGGAACACCTCCGTCTTTACTGTCTCGCCCGGCACAACGCCAGCTTCCTCCGTCGAGCTGATCGCGGTCATGCCCGCGGTCGAAGCAAAGTCCGACGTCATCGCATCCATCTCCGTGGCGGTCTCTGTCGTCGTCTCCGTCTCCACTGTCGTGCTCGTGGCTCCGCCCTTCGTCTCGGTCTCTGTCGTCGTCTCCACCTCGATCGTCGTCACAAGCTCACCGGCGGGGGACGTCTCCGTGCGTGTGGTCGTGCGTACAGTCTTGGTCACGATACTGCCATCGGCTTGTTTCGAGCGGAACACCTCCGTCTTTACTGTCTCGCCCGGCACAACGCCAGCTTCCTCCGTCGAGCTGATCGCGGTCATGCCCGCGGTCGAAGCAAGGTCCGACGTCATCGCATCCATCTCCGTGGCGGTCTCTGTCGTCGTCTCCGTCTCCACTGTCGTGCTCGTGGCTCCGCCCTTCGTCTCTGTCTCTGTCGTCGTCTCCACCTCGATCGTCGTCACAAGCTCACCGGCGGGGGACGTCTCCGTGCGTGTGGTCGTGCGTACAGTCTTGGTCACGATACTGCCATCGGCTTGTTTCGAGCGGAACACCTCCGTCTTTACTGTCTCGCCCGGCACAACGTCAGCTTCCTCCGTCGAGCTGATCGCGGTCATGCCCGCGGTCGAAGCAAGGTCCGACGTCATCGCATCCATCTCCGTGGCGGTCTCTGTCGTCGTCTCCGTCTCCACTGTCGTGCTCGTGGCTCCGCCCTTCGTCTCGGTCTCTGTCGTCGTCTCCACCTCGATCGTCGTCACAAGCTCACCGGCGGGGGACGTCTCCGTGCGTGTGGTCGTGCGTACAGTCTTGGTCACGATACTGCCATCGGCTTGTTTCGAGCGGAACACCTCCGTCTTTACTGTCTCGCCCGGCACAACGCCAGCTTCCTCCGTCGAGCTGATCGCGGTCATGCCCGCGGTCGAAGCAAGGTCCGACGTCATCGCATCCATCTCCGTGGCGGTCTCTGTCGTCGTCTCCGTCTCCACTGTCGTGCTCGTGGCTCCGCCCTTCGTCTCGGTCTCTGTCGTCGTCTCCACCTCGATCGTCGTCACAAGCTCACCGGCGGGGGACGTCTCCGTGCGTGTGGTCGTGCGTACAGTCTTGGTCACGATACTGCCATCGGCTTGTTTCGAGCGGAACACCTCCGTCTTTACTGTCTCGCCCGGCACAACGCCAGCTTCCTCCGTCGAGCTGATCGCGGTCATGCCCGCGGTCGAAGCAAGGTCCGACGTCATCGCATCCATCTCCGTGGCGGTCTCTGTCGTCGTCTCCGTCTCCACTGTCGTGCTCGTGGCTCCGCCCTTCGTCTCGGTCTCTGTCGTCGTCTCCACCTCGATCGTCGTCACAAGCTCACCGGCGGGGGACGTCTCCGTGCGTGTGGTCGTGCGTACAGTCTTGGTCACGATACTGCCATCGGCTTGTTTCGAGCGGAACACCTCCGTCTTTACTGTCTCGCCCGGCACAACGCCAGCTTCCCTCCGTCGAGCTGATCGCGGTCATGCCCGCGGTCGAAGCAAGGTCCGACGTCATCGCATCCATCTCCGTGGCGGTCTCTGTCGTCGTCTCCGTCTCCACTGTCGTGCTCGTGGCTCCGCCCTTCGTCTCGGTCTCTGTCGTCGTCTCCACCTCGATCGTCGTCACAAGCTCACCGGCGGGGGACGTCTCCGTGCGTGTGGTCGTGCGTACAGTCTTGGTCACGATACTGCCATCGGCTTGTTTCGAGCGGAACACCTCCGTCTTTACTGTCTCGCCCGGCACAACGCCAGCTTCCTCCGTCGAGCTGATCGCGGTCATGCCCGCGGTCGAAGCAAGGTCCGACGTCATCGCATCCATCTCCGTGGCGGTCTCTGTCGTCGTCTCCGTCTCCACTGTCGTGCTCGTGGCTCCGCCCTTCGTCTCGGTCTCTGTCGTCGTCTCCACCTCGATCGTCGTCACAAGCTCACCGGCGGGGGACGTCTCCGTGCGTGTGGTCGTGCGTACAGTCTTGGTCACGATACTGCCATCGGCTTGTTTCGAGCGGAACACCTCCGTCTTTACTGTCTCGCCCGGCACAACGCCAGCTTCCTCCGTCGAGCTGATCGCGGTCATGCCCGCGGTCGAAGCAAGGTCCGACGTCATCGCATCCATCTCCGTGGCGGTCTCTGTCGTCGTCTCCGTCTCCACTGTCGTGCTCGTGGCTCCGCCCTTCGTCTCGGTCTCTGTCGTCGTCTCCACCTCGATCGTCGTCACAAGCTCACCGGCGTGGGACGTCTCCGTGCGTGTGGTCGTGCGTACAGTCTTGGTCACGATACTGCCATCGGCTTGTTTCGAGCGGAACACCTCCGTCTTTACTGTCTCGCCCGGCACAACGCCAGCTTCCTCCGTCGAGCTGATCGCGGTCATGCCCGCGGTCGAAGCAAGGTCCGACGTCATCGCATCCATCTCCGTGGCGGTCTCTGTCGTCGTCTCCGTCTCCACTGTCGTGCTCGTGGCTCCGCCCTTCGTCTCTGTCTCTGTCGTCGTCTCCACCTCGATCGTCGTCACAAGCTCACCGGCGTGGGACGTCTCCGTGCGTGTGGTCGTGCGTACAGTCTTGGTCACGATACTGCCATCGGCTTGTTTCGAGCGGAACACCTCCGTCTTTACTGTCTCGCCCGGCACAACGCCAGCTTCCTCCGTCGAGCTGATCGCGGTCATGCCCGCGGTCGAAGCAAGGTCCGACGTCATCGCATCCATCTCCGTGGCGGTCTCTGTCGTCGTCTCCGTCTCCACTGTCGTGCTCGTGGCTCCGCCCTTCGTCTCTGTCTCTGTCGTCGTCTCCACCTCGATCGTCGTCACAAGCTCACCGGCGGGGGACGTCTCCGTGCGTGTGGTCGTGCGTACAGTCTTGGTCACGATACTGCCATCGGCTTGTTTCGAGCGGAACACCTCCGTCTTTACTGTCTCGCCCGGCACAACGCCAGCTTCCTCCGTCGAGCTGATCGCGGTCATGCCCGCGGTCGAAGCAAGGTCCGACGTCATCGCATCCATCTCCGTGGCGGTCTCTGTCGTCGTCTCCGTCTCCACTGTCGTGCTCGTGGCTCCGCCCTTCGTCTCGGTCTCTGTCGTCGTCTCCACCTCGATCGTCGTCACAAGCTCACCGGCGGGGGACGTCTCCGTGCGTGTGGTCGTGCGTACAGTCTTGGTCACGATACTGCCATCGGCTTGTTTCGAGCGGAACACCTCCGTCTTTACTGTCTCGCCCGGCACAACGCCAGCTTCCTCCGTCGAGCTGATCGCGGTCATGCCCGCGGTCGAAGCAAGGTCCGACGTCATCGCATCCATCTCCGTGGCGGTCTCTGTCGTCGTCTCCGTCTCCACTGTCGTGCTCGTGGCTCCGCCCTTCGTCTCTGTCTCTGTCGTCGTCTCCACCTCGATCGTCGTCACAAGCTCACCGGCGGGGGACGTCTCCGTGCGTGTGGTCGTGCGTACAGTCTTGGTCACGATACTGCCATCGGCTTGTTTCGAGCGGAACACCTCCGTCTTTACTGTCTCGCCCGGCACAACGCCAGCTTCCTCCGTCGAGCTGATCGCGGTCATGCCCGCGGTCGAAGCAAGGTCCGACGTCATCGCATCCATCTCCGTGGCGGTCTCTGTCGTCGTCTCCGTCTCCACTGTCGTGCTCGTGGCTCCGCCCTTCGTCTCGGTCTCTGTCGTCGTCTCCACCTCGATCGTCGTCACAAGCTCACCGGCGTGGGACGTCTCCGTGCGTGTGGTCGTGCGCACAGTCTTGGTCACGATACTGCCATCGGCTTGTTTCAAGCGGAACACCTCCGTCTTTACTGCTGGATCAGATTCAATAGAGGTGACTTGCTTTTTTGTCGTCCAGTTGGCGATGAGCTTACGTGCAGCGGCCTTTGTGGTGAGCGGTGGGCCGCGAGTTTGTTTGTTTAACCAGGACATAAACCAATCACCAGCATCAAAACCACCTCTGTCCCCGATCTTATCGCAGACGGGTTCTTCCAAGTGGGCTTCATACATGTAACATCCAAGCGCAGGTTTATCTAGAAGTGTATCGGCTTGCTTTAACACTGAAACAGCTTGCGCGTTGTGATAACTGCCAACTTCCATGAGACAATTTTCGCTGTATGCGTCGACAATGGGCGATCCGGACATTATAACGATCTCGTCAGCGAGTTGAATGATTGCTGTTGTCTTCACGGCTTCGTCTTGCCAGTCGAATATCGAAGCTGTCGCGTTCTTGTCACCCATACACAGGGCCACGTCGCTTTGTGACGGACATTGAGCACCTAGTTTTTGGAGATACTCAATCATCTCCTCCCACGAACCGCTACGCACAATTTCTCCATCGTAAAGCACAATCGCGCTTTTCGCGCGAGTACAGTCTTCGGATGAGTCACGCAACAGAGAAATCACAATGACCTTACGCAGCCACTTGGACAAACGACGATTCATCGCAATAAACTCAAACGACGACTCGTTCTCTACGGGAGCTTGATCCATGAGCACCGTATTGGTCGTACTAAAGCGTAGACCGCGGCGACTAATCGGAAAATTGGGGTAGTAGAGCGTGAATGCGCGAGCCAATTCCCACGCCAGCTTGCGTTCCTTTGAGCGGCGCTCAGCGACACCTAGTACACGCTCTGCCAGACTTTTTCGTTCTTCTTTTTCTGGGTCCACTTTATGTTTTAACACACGGAAACGACAAAATGCACGCGCAAAGATAAAGAGCTCCACTGCAGTCACTGTCTCAAAGCGACGACCCTGGCTTGTCAAATAGGTTAAGAAGGCAGGTACCAACTTCTTAATGTCCTCCTTTTTCCATTCCTTTCCAGCCTCCACGCCCGTCACATCGTCTCGTGCCGTTTGCGACGACACGACAGTACTGGTAAAGAGCACACCCGAAGTGTTGCTCAGATCGTACAGCATCTCGGCCTTCGACTCCTCCAAGCCCATGGCAGCGGCCGTAGCACTTGCACTCCAGGCGTGCCAAGCAAGCTCTGCAAGGTCCTGAATGCTCGTACTCTCCTCGCTTACACTTTCAAAGTCCGCCACGGCGCACGCTGCAGCCGCCGCTGTAGGACTTAGATCCTGTTGCTGCTGCTGAGACTTGCGCATCGCATCGACCTCCGTCTCCATGGTCGTGACGATTTCAGTGGTCGTCTCACTCGAGCCATCAGGTCTCGTGACCACTGTCGTGACGGTACCTCCATCAGTACTGGTGGTGATGGATGTCGTGGTGCCATCCTCTTCCGTCGAGACTTTGGTTAAAGACTCGTCCTTGGTCGTCATCGCCTGCTTTTTCGAGGCTTTAGACATTTTCTTGTCCTGTTGCTGCTGCCGTGCTGATTTTTTGCGGCTCCCCGTCGGACGCTGGGGACGTGTGTCCTTCTTGGCTGCTTGATTTGATTCATTGCCACCCATTTTTCCTATTCTCTCTTTTCTTTTTTTTCCTTTTCAAAGTTTTACACTCACTCTTTTTTTACACTCAACTAATTCACTTGACGTCCACCAAGTAAAAACGATTGTGAAAGGAAGGGCGATGAAAAAAGATACACTTAGTTCATGGGAGTATATAGTCAATTACTTGATTTCACTAAGGTATAAGTCCGTACTTAACGAAAACATCTGTTTCTAGTACTGCTGGCAGTGTGTCATGTGTACTACCTACCTACTACTATCCTTTTAGGAAAAAATCAGTCGTGGGCAGACTGGACAACACTATGCTGCTGATACAAAAAGATTGCAAGATAATTACCGTGTGTGAAGAAAAAAAAACGAAACGATTGCTGACCATTTACATTGTATTTTATATTCAATAGTTTGTTAATTGGTAACGTCATGATCAGATACTGAAATTAAGTTTTGTGTTACAGCCATTTTCTTGTCAATGGATACAGTCAGTGGCTGGGCGAAACCGCCAAGTGTCGACACGAAAGCACGATAAGCAGAGCTCGTATTGACGGGTGTCATAAAAGACGTGTAGCTAGTTGCTGGGGAACCATGCGCGAACAAGACAGGCATCATAGAGTACTACTGTTAGTGAAGAAGACCCATGTTATCGGAATTTTTCTAAATGCGTTTTACAATCAAAATAGGTCATTTTTGAATGTTTCATACCCTTTTTTTGGTTGAATATGGTTAAACGCTACAATTCGGTACCTCTTTCTAAAAATTGGGTGCTTTTTGCAAGATTGCTTTTTAGTTTTATATGCACTAGATTTCCAAAATTACCAATTAAGGACAATCATTTTAAAAACAGACAAGTTGATTGACGTAAAAATTTAGCGCTTCAGACCATTTTATACGAGTAAAATGGCTTGTACGTGGTGGGCGTAAGGCGTAAGTGTAGAGACAATGGGCCGTGGCTGTTCCTTAGACGAGTGGACGCATTTTCAAGAGATATTAGAGGAAGGTCGTGTCCCTAACTCATCACATTGGTACGTATTTTGTCGTCATTGTCTTGCGGGTTTTGAACCGAAGCAGCTTTATAATGCACCTGTTAAACTCACGGGACGACGTTCAGCTATGCGCGCACACCTTAATTCATGTCCTACGTACGCCACACAGTATAAATGGAAGTTAGACGTCAATAGGCGATAAGCGCAAGCGCAAGGTGATAGGAGAGAGCAGTCAATTACGTGGAGGCCGTGGAAAGCAGTGTATGATGGAAGAATGGACACACTATACGCGTCTTTAAGATGAGGGCTATATTGGTGAATCCAATCTCTTTTACGCCGTGTGTAAACACTGTGAACGAGCGCACGACGAGGCACCACAAGACCAAAAGGCACTACTTGTGCCGGAGAAATTAGTCGGAAGACGCGAGAACATGAGGAAACATTTGTTACAATGTCCACACTTCAAAGCAGATTTATCATGCCTAGAGCGCAGGTTGCACCAGCATGACGATGGCATGCCACTCAGCACGGTGTTTACTGGGCTGGCAGCAGGTGCAGCGACTAGTCTAGGATCGACAGCTGCTGTAGCAATGACGGACATATCTTTTCTGCTGGGTCTAGTGCCGATTCTAATAATGGCTCGTCGCGGCTTGCAATGGATGAATGGCACTACTTCACGCGTCTTGAGCATAAGAAGGACAGCACGTACTATTATGCGCACTGTAACTTTTGTCAGCAGGCATTTGAAAGTGCGCCTGATAGTATGACGGCGTCAATGGAACCGCTATTATTATGGGACGCAAGGGAAATATGCAGACACATTTGGCCAAGTGCCTTCACATGCCGAAAGAAGCCACGGCGATTGATTACTTCCGTTATTTGAATGACAACTATCCGTCGCTGTCCATGCTGATGCAAGTGCTGTGCTCCTTCTCTTCAGTGTCGTTGGTGAGTCGCGCCATACATTCACCTTTACAGAATGGTACCAATAATATGTACACCAACGACGAGCAATTAAAACTCGAGTACCTACGTGGGCGCTGGGGAATTGCATCTGCTGCTGCTTCACTGTTTGAAACAAAGGAAGATGCGACAAAAAGTCGAATTACCGGGCATAATGATCGTAGTGGGGCAGCCGTGTTGAGTGCTAGCGTTGTCCTGGATGAGTGGAAGGAAGCTATAGAATCCGAACTTCTCGGACGGGGCGTAGACTTTTGCCTACTGGAAAACAAAATCAATGGCGTGAGCGATTTTAACATGTCTGTAGAGCCCGAGGACAGGATGGAGCAGGAAAGGTTCATGGACTCAAGCTTCTTTTGGCGGAGCTTGACGATGAGCTGGCGGTATTTTCGTCAGCCAGTATGTGCACCGAGTTTCTTACAAAAGTACCTCTTAAAGACTTGTTCAAACCGGCTGAGGCAACTATTTAGCTCCGTTGCAAAGCGTAATATGAATGCGGTATACGCATACATTTCCTTATTGCGCAGCACTAACTGTACTAGTCAACAAAGCCTCAGCACTACTCGGAAGTCAAACTTTATCCCCGCGGCGGCTTTTGGCGTCTCACTGACATGCAGGCAAGATCTTACCCTCGCAAGACCCAAATCCAATCCTGTAGCCATCGCCCTGGCAGAACCCCGTCATTATTACCGTGTCGCCGTCCTGCAGAAACTTTCGGGTAATGCCGCTGTCTCCCAAAGCTACGTCACGGGACCCTTGCCAGCTCAGCTCCAGCATTGAACCTAAGCTGTCGTCTGTACTCCCACTGATGGTGCCGCTGCCCAAAAGGTCTCCAGGCTGCATATTGCACCCCGTAACAGTGTGATGAACAAGCTGTTGCTTCATGTTCCAGTACATGTTACGGAAGTTGCTCTTTGTCACGGCGTAGGCTTGATCGGAATCCTCCGGTCTTATTGAGACCTGTACAGATCACGGACAGGCACTGTCAATTGGCTTGCATAGCATTCCGCTTCAAGGTATCATTCGTCTCGCGACATACATTCAGGTTAATATCGTAAGTACCGCGGGCGTAATCGGGGTCTGTGATGTATGGCAACGGTGTTGGGTCCTTCTGAGCTGAGCCAAAGCTCGGTTTGCAGCGAAATGGCTCCAAGGCGGCAAGAGGCACAACCCATGGCGAAATCGTGGTCGCAAAGTTTTTGGATCCAAATGGTCCAAGCGGAATATACTCCCATTTTTGAATGTCACGAGCTGTCGGGGAAACGTTTGCAGCATTCAATTAGCCATTGGCTTCGATTCTTTGTAGATCACAATATATTTTACCGCTCCAATCGTTCATCAATACTACACCAAAAATGTGGCCCTCCGCCTCATTCATCGGAATCGGCTCACCGAGATTATTGGACGAGCCTACAAAAAACGCCTGCAAGAAGAGTTTATCCGCATTAGAGCTAGAAACTCAAAAAATGGTCTTAGTGAACAGCACATACCATCTCAAGCTCGAAATCAAGCACACGACATGGACCATATACAGACCCCTTTGACGGGTCAGTCTTGTCCGCTTGCAACTGACCACATGGTCGACGAACAGTAGTGCCTGACGTGATGATCGATGAGGAGCGACCATGGTAACCAATAGGCAAGTGAAGCCTAGGATTTCCATGGGAAATGACATCAAACATGGTCACGATTATATCTATGAACTCAGTAAACATGAACTACTTGACGCACCAGTTGAGCGGTAATGCATTTTCTTCTCCACGAAACATCCGACCAACGTTTGTAGCGTGCTCACGTGATGAGTAAAAGTCCGTATAGTCACCAATTTTGGCAGGTAGATCCATACGTACAAGTTCTATGGGAATCAGTGCACGCTTTTGTAGTGCTTCATTGTCACGTAGTATTGGTTCATCAGCAGAAAGTAATTGCTGAATAATCGTGCGTGTTGTAGCCCACACTTTAGGTCCTTGTGCCATAAACCTATTGAGTGATGACTAGACAATGTAAGATTAGTATTATCTCTTATTCAATCTATATATAAACAATACTGCAAAGACAACAGATAGAGTAGTAAATAGAACCAAATGAAACGTACATCATGGAAGCAGGTAGCATCAAAACCTTGAAAATGACCTTCTGTCTCTAATACGGACAAGTCTAGTACCTAAACAGCAAGTATTAATACATATATATATATGATATAATGGAGCAAGCGAGAGAGAAAAAAAAGAGAGACAGAGAATGACGTACAAACTCTCCAATGGCAACACCCACACGTTTCTTGTCATCCTTTATTATCGTGGAAAAGACGCCATAGGGAAGATTTTGTATGGGAAAATCAGAGTCAGGAGCTATTGGAATAAAACTCATGATATAATTGGACAGAAAGTAAAAAACCGAGGGTTTGACGAATGAGCGTAATTTAAAAATGAGTAAACTGAAAAAAGCGATCCAAAAAGTCTCCTTTTTAAATAACTTACCAAATGCAAGAAAAAAACGAAATAGCAACAAATGGCGTCCAAACTGCAACCTCGTCTCATACGTCGTGTCTAAACAAATTGATTAGTTTATTCAAAAATAGGAAGCTCACAGCCACACACTTACTTCATACGCTTACTTTGTCGATTTGAAAAAACTCGGTGGTTCGTCTTTATATGGTCTAATACAAATCATACGAGACACATGTTCATTTCAAGCACGAGTGAACAAAACGTAACTGAAGAACGACATGATAGTTTTTCGATATAAGCACGTCTAGAATGTAAACGAGTCTTTGTTCTCGTCATGACGATCTTGACGCTTGCGAAGTCGCTCAAAACGTACTGTGAGCTCGTCAAAATCTGGGATGTCTTCGTTGCTTGGTGGGACTACGGCTGACAAAGCTGGAGTGCCAAAAGGAGGAAGAACTTCGTGTTGTTGCAATGCTGCTGGGGCCGGTTCCGTTGATTCTGCGTGAACGTCATCGTACTGCTGGAATGGATCTGACTGCGACGATCTTGTAGAGTAATAGTGCATTGGCTGATTCGTGTAGGCGTCCACTGTCCGCCTTGACAGGGACGACTGAAGCAATGCCGGAGCAGCAGCATCTTCCATGCTAGTATGGCCAGTAGCTTTAGGCAAATAAGACGGGCTAGTACTAGGTAGAGAGTTCTGTATGCATTGCAGAGCAATAGTCAGCTGTAGACACCCCTTAGGTCCCAAACACGTTGTCCAAAAGGAATGAAGCATACCGATGTATAAAGTGCAGCAAAATCTGGTCCAGAGACGCTGGCACTCATGACGGTGGTACCTGTCGGTGCCGGAATCGGAGCCAGCGGGTCCGTCACTTGAGCTTCGTCGGGCTTCCAGTCGATCTTGAACTCTTTGGCAATCTCTTTCATGTAGTTGACCACGAGAAACGCGCTCGGTGGTCGCACACTAAGTTTCTGCATCACGCGCTCGTTCACGCATCCGTCCACATTGCGAATAGCTGCCGCCTCAAAATCCTGTCCGTACTTTTTGGTAAGTTGTTTCTTGACTTCCGTCAACTCCGGAATCTCCGTGCGACTTGCTGACCAGATAAGCGTGCATACAGCCTCGCGCATGTCATACGGGCATTCAGGATCTGTCTTGACGAGGTTCTGTCAACAATAACAGCGTTAGCTGTGCGTGTGAACCAGGGTCACTTTAGCAACAACAATTGGACGCACCGCTCGCTCGGCCAGAAGTTCACACAGTAGTTCCAGAATCTCATAGCCTTCCATTGTAAAATCATCACGGATAATTCCTTCCACCTGACCGCACATACAAAACCACGGTACCATCAATACATTTGACACACAAGCAGAACTTTAAATAGTTTTTCTGTCTCTCTCTCTTTCTTACTTCAATTCGCGCTTTTTCTACTTTACCGTCTCCTAATAACCGTGCAACTTGTCGCCTTTTCACTAGTGCTGCGTTTGCTTTTTTATTCTTGACAATACCAATGCGATGTACCGCCATCTTAAGATTAGGCTTCAGTTTATTCACATTAAATCCAAACATTCTCTTGTCTTTGGCTTGGGCTTTCGAATTGATACAAAGAATTATGTGTCCATTTTAGAATCTAATTGGAGAAAAACTGTACTAATTTCCACAAATGTATTGGCCTATCATAGCAGCTACATTCATTCTTCATGAGCTCACATAGGAGCTACATATGCACTTTTGTATTGTGTCTCGTTTACATCAGTCGGAATGCCTCATACGTCTTGCTACAACAATAGTAACTTGGTTATCTGTGCTCCAATCTGTTCCTTAATCTGCCCATGACACAGGCTTCTTTCGCCCCGTGTACGTCCTTCTTGTCATGGGGAAACATTCGAATCAGACGCGCCCGAGTTGGTGAGCAAATCTGCAGAGCTCGTGTCACTCACGCGTCGCATGGCCTCTTCAGCCGCAGCCTTCCGTCGGCTGCGAAACAGTCTTCCTCTCTTGCGTTTTCTGGGGGTCGAATCGGACACATCAAAGTCACCACTGGAGGTCGAGTCGCTCAAATGGCTCGAGCCGCTGAGCTCCAGCTGCTCCAACTGGCGCCGCTCGACCACCTCGCGAGGCTCAAAGTAGACCAGGCCAGGGTCTGGTACCCCCTTGACAGCTCTTGTGGAGAATGGCGCTCGGTTCTTACTGCTACTGCTGCTGCTAGAGCGAGGGGGCATCGCCACGTCCTTCTTCTTGTTGTCGTTTGAATATTTCTTGTGCAGCACGCGGAAATAATACCAGCCCGTGATAGTCGCGTAAGAGAACCAGATGAAAGCATTCTTGCGCAGTCTCGTGCTGCTAGCAAGAGCTATTACAAAAGCCAGGAGAAACAGCAGCAGCCACAGCAACGCTGCCATTCTTTTGCACTTGGTATTGTTGACTGAACGTGTACAATATCTCGCCTTTTCTAGACTGTGTGGGTCAGTTATGTCGTTCCTTATTGTTCAGTGTGACACACATGATTTTTTATCGGCTGGCGCCATTAGTATTATGTATTACCTAATATTCATTTTACTGCATAAAAAGACGTCATTAATAAACAAAACTCGTTCCTTCGCTTTCCATCCGGACTAAACTGATTCGACTACATTCAATCAACCTGTCACCAAGAAAAAGCATACAGTCCTTCCCATTGGCATTATCAAGAAGAATGGACTGGAACTTGATGAAATCTTCTGACGATTATTGAGTGAGTTGAATGTAATGATCAAGTCGCGAATAGAAACACCATCTCCGCAGCAGATAAAGTAAAGAGATGAAGTCAGTGGTCTTTACAAGCCTGTTAAGTCTCTGGCAATGAGGCACGAACAACGATAATGCCAAAACTGCGCTTTGGTGAGGAGGTGGAAGTGGATGAGTGTAGGTGCTTGGGTACAAGCACTTCAGGAACAAGTTGCATGCTGCGGTCTATGACTGTAAGACAATGTCTAATCTAGCGTTTACGCGGACGAAAACGTAAGTGAGGCAGCGCGTTTGATGTGTCTAGCTAGTGCAAAGGCTGCTTTCTATCAGGTGTCCTGAAGGATCAAGATATCAACAATTGTTACAGCGAGGCGAGGTTACAGGGTAAGCCGAGGAGATGACATGTTCAGTTGCTTTCTTGCCACAATTTTGCTCAGTTGTGCTGACATGCTAAGGGTTAAAATTGCTAAAGACGCCGCGTGATGCAAAAGTCTTGGCTGAGGGTGCTACGAACGAAGCCGAAACAGGGCATCTGGATGAACGCCGCAATGGGTTGTTGAAGCCTGAACACATGAAAGCTTGTGTGCCGCAGAGCTTTGTTGCTGGCCAAAGCAAATGGAAGCGGCGAACAAGTGGTTTGAATGTGAAGTTTGCATGAAAACGTGGATGCGATGTACAAGAGGTTCACCACTCTGGTGCAAGTAGCATGCGCTCAAGTGCGATAGGAGACGAACACAAGCAGGTGCTGCAACGTACAATTCGTCGTAGGCTTGATGGTTGTGCAAGCCCGTGCACTGCTTTAGCACCAGAACAATGCGACTCGTGCGGTAGCGTACGCCGTATCCGCTCGTCGCAGATATTTGGGACACTCAACCAACGATTTCATATGCACGAGGTTGGTCTCAATTGACCACGTGTCTGGCAAACCAATTTGCAAGAATAGTGGAGACGTCAAAGCTTTGGTCGCTGTAGCCGTCGACAATGTGCCTGTATTATCGTGTTCATGTTATTCTGGCCATGCCACATTTTCTCCCGTTGTAATGAAGAATAAGGTCTGGCTCGTGACACTTACCGAGTTGCTCGAGCAGCTTTGAAAGAAGCGGAAACTTGATCGGTTGGAGCCAACCTCTCGGTCATCTTCTTCTGACTCCAGACCAGCAGGGCGGGGCTTTTGGTGATAGCGCTGACGCCGGCAAGACGCTGTACCCAAGCACCAACGTGAAATGCTGCAGCCATTGTCGCCATTGGCGACTACGTGGACACTAAGATGGCGCGTTTTTCTTGTCGCAGCCACAACATGGAGGCGGAGCCGTGCAATACTACTGAAACGCTGTTACATCATCATGAAACAGCTTGCAACAACAATGTCCGCTTCACCTGAGGTGGGCAGCACATTTGTAGCTGCGCCTCGTTGCTTGTAGCGGTGCGCAACCTGCGGCTGTGTATTGAGCCTCTGGACTTTGTGCGCCATACCGTGTATAAATCGGTATCTTACTCCGATGGCACAATGGAAGAGATAACCCACAGTAGCTGTCAGACGGGTGGTGCCTACGCAGGAACTTATGGGCAGGAATGTCGTTGCTACCAGGGCATGAGTTACTGCATCATTACAACTGACTCGGAGACATTACTGCTGTAAGGCTCACCATCACAGCAGCCCCAGGAACTTGTAGAATGTCCGCTGGGCTCAGCAAGCATTGCATATACACAGGATAAGGGCTGTTCGCAGATATGCCAAAACAGGTATTTTTCGTATAATGAACTGTGCCTGCATCTGTCCCCTCGGTGGCTTTTGTCAGTGTGCTGCAACATGAATGATTGCTTGCTGTGCAAACTGGTTCCCTAGCGTGACGTGTTTGTAGAAACGTTTGATCTGTAGATTTCTATAGACTGTAGACATTTATTGGCGAATCTCAACGTCATTAGCCGAGTGTATTGCTGCATCACCTTGTCCACAGCTTTGTATTGGCATATAACAAAGTTAGCACGTTAGCTCATACCAAGTAAAGTGGTCAGCGAACAAGAAGGCCTATTCAATACACTCACAATAAAGATACAAACTATCGCAGTATGACGATGCAGATGATACACTTCAAGTCAAATCAAATGACGCTTCAATCTCTGAGTTAACACAACAGGATCGACATATCATAGCTAACAGCTCTTGTAACTCGTCACGTATGAAGAAACTCATGTCTACGATTATGAACCCTGTCTTTGGCAAAAGAGAGGGTAAGAATGATTGAAAGAGCACAAAGTCCACCGACCTTACGCAACCGACACAGTTTGAGGCCTATTCTGTCTATTTTACACGAGCATAATCAATAGTCAACTCATCACAGTTGAACAGCAAAAAGTAGCAATAACTTCTGTTGGCAGTTGGAAATTGAGGAAAAATGATACTGCGTCTGGAAATTCCAAGCAGGCGACTGCTAGCGCTTCTAGTGTGCAACAGAATGCATTTTGACAAAGTGACACAACAAAGTTGCGATTAACGAGTCTACTAGATTGTTAGGAACCGTCTTTGAAACTGAGGTCATTTCTGACTACGAAGAAACATTAACGTTTGAGGCGATACGGTGGTGGTGGATGACAACAATGACGACGAATGGTCACAACAAGGCAATGACTAGACCATTGCCTTGTTGAAATTCTGAAAGCCGCATATCGTGAAGTCCTCTCTACCTGACGTCACGAACGTATGATTTCATAAGGTATCATTTCTATACAACATTACAACACCTTGCACTATCAATTCCACTATACTTAGTGTAAGTTGTGCCTACATTAGCGTCTGTCTCACCAATTAGGCTTTCATAAAAGACCCATTAGCAACGACGACGACGAGTACGAAAAGCCAGTGCACATCTCGCTCTTTCAAGTGAGAAGAGCCAGTTTCATTGTCATAATGAATATGCTTCACATAATGCCATTTAAAAGTCTAAATAGCAACGTATTAATGACCAGAAAACACCAGTACATGTCCCTTAACGGGCGACATGATGGCGATTCAAGAGCTACGCAAATGAATTTGCAAGAGTGCTTCCTCGCATATAAATCTCGTCTCTGCCAAAGATCGCTTGACTGATCACTTAGGCGCTAGTTTCCATATCTTCGCCACCACGTATCTAGTTACATCCCCTCGTTTCGCTCACAAAAAGCTTCCACAGCAACAGCAGCTGACTTACGTGCCGACAACGATTCGCCAATCGTGGCGATACAACGATTCGCCAACGGGCGACACCCCCGAAACATCCAGCGTAAGTGTCATATTGCAATTCAGATGGCGCTGGCGACCGACCTGACCTGGCTTTGCCATTGCATTAGCCTTCGTCGCGTAGTGGGTGAGCTACTTGGCCATTCTTCAAACTTCTGTCGCCTCGATAAGAGCATCCTCCAAGTGTCAAAGCCTTCACTGCGATAACCAATTGTAATCATGGTGAACGTGATACATACGACTTCTGCTGTAGCCATGGCTGCCGCCATCTTTGGGATGGCGAATGCCGACAACTTCAAGTGCGCGGGTATCAACTACAATATCCGCGCGGGCCCCGACTGGGCTACACCCGACGTAAAGTGCAAACCTGCTTCGCAGATCATCACAGAGCTGGCCACGCTTAAGGGCGCAACGGACGTCATCCGACTGTACTCGCTGACGGACTGCGACCAGGCCACCGCTTTGGTGCCGTTGGCTATCAATATTGGACTCAAGCTGGAGCTGGGCATATGGGTCGACTCGAACACGTCCAGCTTCGAGGCAGAGAAAGATGCGTTCAAGGCTCTACTGCAGACCGGCCATGTGACTGCCGACAACATCGTCGGTATTCATGTAGGCAGCGAGGCCGTGTACCGTGGTGACGTGACGGTCTCATTGGCCATTTCGAATCTGGAACAGATCCGTGCTCTGTGCCGCGCCAACCCGGCCACCGCCAATATTCCGCTCACCATTGCCGACATTGGTGACACGTACTCGGCGTATCCGGAGCTGATTGAGGCCGTGGACTACGTGTCGGCCAACTACTTCCCGTTCTGGGAGGAAGTGGATATCGACACCGCCGTCGACCACTTTTACAAGCGCTATTCAGCGCTCGCGCAGATCGCCCTCACCCGCGGCAAGGAGGTGATCATAGGCGAGACCGGTTGGGCGTCGAATGGCACATGCGCTAACTCCAGCGTCGCGACCGAGGCAAATGCCGCTAAGTTTTTCTACGACTTCTACAAGCTTGCAGTGGAAAAGAACCTTGTGTACTACTACTTCTCAGCCTTTGACGAGCCGTGGAAGCTGCACACACTTGAGGCCAACGAAACGGTGGAGGCCTATTTCGGCCTGTTCACGCACAATGGAATCTTAAAGGACACCATTGCAACAAAGTTTGACAGCATCTCTGCGTCCATCGACAGCAGCAGCAGCCCAATCACCACCACCACACTTCCGTCTGTATCGGACAGCGCGACGTATCAGGACGACACTGGCGCTGACAAGACCAGCGTGGACAGCACTACGCAGCAGGACTCGCATACCATGACTTCCACATCGTTACCGCACAAGGAATGCGCCATGTAAGCAGCAAGCTACAGAGGTGAACAAAGTGGTAGACTGTAAATGGTACCTCTACGATACATGCAATGTGCAGAAGCATGAGTAGTCAACCAACCTAAATGTCAGCATCGACTTCAGTCAAACAATTCGTCTCTCTGTCGCTTCTTCTCTTTCTTTTTGCATTGAGGCTGGAATCAAAAGATGCATGCAAAAAGACACAAAGAGCGTCACTTTAATCAAATCTAATGTAGAGCAAGTGCTACAATTCCTTCAGCTTGAGTTGATCCTATCTAGTCCTGTTCTTACTCACACTTTTGACGCGCGACATCTGATCATCGACTCAATCACAAGTAACAAGCAATACAAGAAGGCTACGAACAGCTTATCGACGTGTTTACTTGCTGGTAGCTGTCTCTGTGTATCTAAGGTCGGTATTTCTTCGTACCTGACTGAACCGTCCTAGAAAATCAACAAGTGGATGAGCTGTCGTCTATGGCTGCAATTTAGAGCGAGTCAAGACTTGACGTATTGTTTTTTTCAAACGTTTGTTTTCCCACAACTTTCGTGCTCTCTGAAAAAAAAAGATGGTGTCTATTCCTAAACGACTTTCATGTCCTCCCTCTTCCGTGAGACGGTTTTTTTTGCTTTCTTTCTTTCATAAAGACCGATCAGATTTACGGCCTGAACTCTAACAACGTATCAGGTTTAGTATAAGGCGAGTTTTTTCGACCATCTGATCTCTTCTTGCAAATCTCTTCTTGACGTCTTTTACTTGACAAAATGGTGAGATAGCAATTCAAACTTGGTTACTACGACGTTGGACATCGCGCTTTCTCCTGAAATAGGTTCGATAAGGATTATTGGCTCGTTTATAACGTCTTAATTAATACCATATGCTTTAAAGCAGGCTGGTCAGCAGGACAAGCGATGCGTCTGCTAAAGGTCAACGAAAGTCTCTCTTATTGCGTATAAACCACGAGAAACGATATTGCGATGACTATTAGACAAGAACTATTACAAGGTGCATTTGTGTTAAAAGTCGTGACACTAGCTATAACGTCAGCTTCAGATGCCAATGATTTCTGTAGTTCTGTTACATCCTGCCTCAAGGATGGTAGTATCAAGTGTGATACTACCACAGGTGAATGCCCGCCTTGTATTTATGCATTGGAAAATACCTACACATGCTGGAAGAAAGACAATTCAACCAATACGTGTCCCTTCACAGGCGTTCGTTACGATTGCTGTACGTCTAATAATGTCGACTTTACGTTATCTCCTTGTCTATATGTATATGTAATGTGGATCTAACGTTATAGTTCTTCCATTCCAATTGTGTGCTAACAGCCGACTCATGGAGCTCTACGACGACTATTAGCAGCGAGACACCGAGTGACCCGGCCATCGATACTTCCAGCTCAACCACAGTCTCCTCTCCCTCGTCATCATCGTTGTCTGGGATCAGCGCTGACGCATCAAGCTCTTCTATCGCCATAGGTAGACTTAGCTCGAGTCTTATCACATACGGAGCCATCAGTTTTGGAGCATTTCTTGTCCTCGTTATTCTCGTTGTTCTCTGTGCACGGAGACGAAAAATGCGATACCGTCGCGAAGAGGACATTGCAGCTACAGAGGCTGGCAATTTTGGTCGCAACCGTACTTCGTCGGATCGGCGCCTTCGTGGTCTAATGAAGGCACGTGACGACACGTTATCTGGTCCGTACAACAACGTTTTGGACACTAGCAAAGTTAATTATGCCGTACCTAGCGTAAACCCCAAACATGGTAAACGTTATGGTGGTCAACACAAGGGATCACATATTGACGATTCCCTGTCCCGCGTGCCGACTGACGAGTCTCCTCGTAGCTTTGATGGTATGTTAGCCGACTCGTCGGACTCTCCTGCCTTTCTAGGCAAAAAGACTAGCTCCCAAAGGAGTGGTGGACACAGCGCTCAGGCGACTCCTATTGTCCAAGGCATTGGCAAATACTCGGACGTGAGTAATTATGTACATCAGGACGTGTCCTTCCGCTGCACGTCCACTCCCGACGTCTTTGGTGAGTATTTGCGAATGAAACAGGAGATGCACTTTGATGAAAGTGGCGGTAATAATATGGGCAGAAGGAAAAGCTTAAGCTTCAGCGACATTAGCAGTGACTTAGGCAGTAGCAAGTCTTCTTTTGAGTCGTCTGGAGGAACTAGTCAACTGCCGCAGCGGCGACTGGACCAAGACGGACGGTTTTCAATGGCCGATTCCATTACCGACTCTATTGCCGATTCGGTCACAGACTCAGAGTATGCCGAGCAACTACGAACGCGCGGCGAGAGCGATTGTTTTAGCGAGATGTCTTACAACGACGAGAGGTATTCGTTTAGCAGTGTCGAAGGCTTAGATGATAGTCAGGTACGAGAGAGCAAGCGTGAAGTCGAGATTTAAGTTCTGCGCGATGCTGCTCTCTCCATGGCGTGTTCTTCGTAGTCTCTCTTGGGATGTGTGAAACCTGTCAAATGAGCTCCACTATTTTATCATTGAAGCCACCGACCGATCCCGTTTTTTTCTACCATACAATACTCGATGGCAAGAGTAGACCAGCATGGAGCTTAGGTCTGCTGCAACTAACTCATTAAGAAATCATCAACAAAGATGCATTCATTCATATGAGTAGCGAGAATGATAGCACTAACAGACCTGCAAGCATGTCCCGTTTGCTCATTGCCGCTAGGCACTACAATAACTGGAGCTGCAGTTTGCGACGATTGCACGAGGTTAAGTTCTACATTCCTTCACCTCAATAATCTGTACACACTTCAATGCACCTTCTTAGTAGTGTTGGTGGTCTTGGACTTTTCTGTTGCCGACAACGTGCTTTGCTGTACATGCGACGTGCTGGCAGCCAGGAGGTGATCGTTACTCGAAGTCGGCGCATATTCCTCGCTGTTTGATTGAGGTTCAGTCTTGAGGCTGTTGCTGCTGCTCGTTAGGGTTATAGGTGCCGTATCTGTGGCAGTTGAAGCATCAACTGAGGTGGAATCGACCTTGGCACCGAAGCGCAAGATGCACTCTTCTGAAATAAAGTCCAGCACCTTTTGGTAAATCCGTGATCGAAACTCAATTCGCTCTGGCCCTTCGAGATAGGACGGCAGGGGGACCACAATGCCGTCAAAGTCTTGCAGTACAAAAGGATTGGCCATCTGCGGCACCGGCGACTTATTCGACACGAGCATGATCCCATTGCCAGACGTGGCCGAACCTGTTGCTTGTGTCGTCGAGGGTACAGACGGCACTCCATCCACAGTCGCGTCAGCAGCAGCAGCAGCAGCTGGAGGTGAAGTAGCTGGAAAAGCAGCAATATTGTCGCCTGAATCGGTATCGTCCGACAAGGCAACTGAAGTCTCAAGTGACTGATGTTTCTTTCTTCGATACGGTGTCAGCCGTTCCTTCCTATTTTCCTTGGTCGAGACTCGTCGCTCTTGTTTATACAGTCGGTTTTTAGCGTCAAGTTTGCGCTGATGTCGATTCTGTCTATTCCGGTGCTCATTGCAGAGATTATGAGCTGTTCCGGACGTCTTAAGTGCTCGTTCATTCAAGCATTTGCCCGTCTTATAGAGACATTTACCTCTATAATCAGGACGTTCTGAGCCAGGAAGTACTGGAACAGAGGACGCCTTTACGTTTGACATGACACTAATTCAAGTAATCGACATATAAATGATTAGAAAGATGCAGATATGATAAAGCCACAACACTTGAAGAGACTATATCACTTCTTCATAAAGACATCTTCTTGATAGATAGACAGATAGATAAAGCAAAGCAAACGTAACTTACCGGACTCAAAAATAGTAAACGTCGACTCAGAAGGTCGACTCAGAGATAAGTAGATAAGAAAATTAATGGACTCAGAGACTGGCAGTAAAATAAACTTTTTCTTTTCTTAACTAAATTTTTCAAGATATTACGAAACAAACAATATGTTGTTGGATTGTAAGAAAAAATGCCGGTTCAGATGAATAGAAGAACATCAAGAAAAAAAGACGCAGTGAGAGACTGAATGCATCATAGCCACAGGTTCTTTCAATTCGTGAACACATTGGATCATTATAGCATTCGTTTTATCATCATCAAAGACCTGCAGCAAGCATCTAGCGATACCGATCACGAAAGAGATTATGACGCTGTTTGGCACCGTGACCAGCTGAATATTCCATATACTTGAAACCATCTGCACCCGAGAGAGCGCCAAGTGATGTCAACTTTTTCTTCTTGCGGCCGTGACCTGAAAGCTCGAAACGCGACAAATCTTCATCATCGCGAATAGCGGCATTCTCGTCCTTCGCGGCACTTTCAACATCAGCACTAAGCACTTCATTTAACAATGCCCGCTGGTCCTCTTTACGTGTAAACACCCCTTCAAATGACCCTGGCTCGAAGAGATCCGTCACTACCTTGAACGTGTAGCCTTGATCTACGAGATACTGCTGACGCTTATTCGAGTAAAACATTTCATGTGTGTCCGTGGAAATGAGCGTGTAAAAGAAGGCATTGAACCCGCCCGTAGCATTGGCCTTAGGACGCAAAATACGCCCTAAACGCTGAGCTTCCTGTCGTCGTGAGCCAAAGTGAGACGACACTTGGATGATCACATTTGCCTCTGGTAGATCAATGGACGTGTCACCGACCTTGGAAATACAAATAACGTTGACCAGAGGAGAGCTTCGGAAGGATTGCAGCAGGCGCATGCGCTCGCGCTCTCCGGTTCCACCGTAAATGTAACCCTTATTGAGCTTCGTTGCGTACAGACGCAGCGCGAATACATCGTCTGAAAAAAGCAGAATCTTGTCACCACGCTCCTCGTGGTACTGGATCAGAAACTCGGCGGCTGTAAACTTATTTGGGTTAGCCACGTACAGAAGTGCGCGCTTGCGTGCGCTCTTGTTTTCTCGCAAATATTCCCGGTAGAATTCTCCAGCCATGGGGCACCATACCTCCACACACGATACGTTAGCTAAAAATCCGCTTTGCGTCAAATCCATCCAATTGGCTTCATACAACTTCGGGCCAATGAGAAAATTCAGGTCGCCGATCAAATCATCCTCGCGCACAAGAGTGGCCGTTAGACCGAGTTTACAATGGCACGCAATCGAGCCAATCACCTTACGAAACATCTTAGCAGGCACAACATGCACCTCATCCAGCAAGATACAGCCCCACTCACGGCCTTGAATAAGTTGCATGACCTCCTCTGATGCGCGAGCGCGACGCCCACCAAAAGCAACCATAGTGTAAGTGGTCACGATCACTCCAGAGCTAGGGTCAATGTAATCTTTCGCAACTGAGGTGAAACGTGCAATCTTCTTCTCCGGAATATTTGTCCACATTTTGAACTGTGCGGTCCACTGCTCTACAGACACAGCCGACGTACAAAGACACAAGCACGATTTCTTAATGGTGGAAGCAGCCGTAACGCCGGTAAGCGTCTTGCCTGCACCGCATGGCAAAACAATAATGCCAGAACGTGCACGACCGTTGCCAAACATTTTGCTTAGTGACTTTTCCTGGTACTCACGAATGCGTGTTGTGGGTTTTAAATCCATCTCCAGGTCTGGGATGGTCTTGTCGTTACGAAAGTCGTACTCCTCCATAAGCGGGTAATCTAAATCCAGACACGCGCGCTTTACTTGCTCTACCATTGTCTTTCTGATCTTAAATGACACGGTGCGTACGGTCTTCTGCTGATTACCGGATGACATTCCAAGGTGGTTCTCATCCGCAACATTGTAATCTTCATTCAGCAGCTTTTGGTACTGCAAATTAGCTTGATCCTCAGCAGACACATCCTTCTGAATAAACTCGCTCGCAGCTTCTGGTCGTGCCCCGTCTGGTGCCACAGGCGGGGCCGCGGCTGACGAGGCATTGGTTGCATTGTGATCCGCTGTCTCTTTCACACGCGCAGCTCGAATATGTTCATGCTCAAGTAGTTTGCGCAGTACCTCAGGGTACAAACTTTCCACGTAAAATTCATTATGGTGAAGTACAAGCTTAGCTTTTCCGTAGCTAAGTGTGCAGTCTTTGATAAAGGCCACAATGCCCTGTGGCAGCCGATTCTTCGACAATCTTTCCAGTACTTTCAAGATACTCTCAGTTTCAATAGCCACCGAGACAGCAGCGTAAAGAGAATATGGCGTGAGCTTGTATTCATGTAGAAACTCTGGACGAGAGACTGGCTCTGAAATTGCTACAAGAAAGTCATAAGCCTGTTTATAAATGGGCGAAAAGGCCTCAAGAAAGATACGACCATTAGGACAGACCCACACAGGTCGCATATCATGATCTGGTTTCATATCTAGCGTTGAAAAGTCATAGTAATCAGAAGTATCGCCATCTTTACCCGTAGACTGCGCTACTTCATTGAGCTTCTGAAGACGATTTTGAATACGACGTGATAAATTACTCGAGGCACCAACACTATCGACAGATTGATGTACAGGACCAGAATTTTCTTCATTTTCCATATATTCCAACAGATCTTCACCTATGGAACCACCATAATCCTCAGCAAGAGACTTGCGCTTCTGTCGCTGCTTTAGTACTCCCTTAGTATTACTACTCATTCTTTTTGATAATAAATAGTAGTAATCATCCCGTTAGAAATCTATTACTACTTTTCACCTCTCTCTCCCCACAATAGTGACCAGCCTATTTTAGTAGTCCCAATTATCAAAGTAAAAAAAGTAGCCAAGTTTGCAACCAAGAAAGAGTAACGGGGTTACACGAAGGTATGTATTATACATACATACCTGCCACACTATTTTAATGTGGCTGTACCTTTTCTTTGGTGTCGCCGTGTGTATATTAGGAAAGACTACTGAGCCAATTAATTATACAGTGACTAGCATTACGTATAGAACAGGTACTTCTATATTCGTGTTAAAAGATCGAACAAAATGAATCAGTTTAAGACCTGCTTGGTAAGCATTTGTTGCGTGAAGCGTAATGTTCCTTGTAAAGGAATAGTATTTGCTGATACTGGTCTCGTCGAAACTTCAATTATATAACCAAAGAAGGCTTAAGTTTGTGTAGCTTACCTTGTGAGGGCTAATAACCCGAAAGACGTAACGCTCGCAGAGCTTTTCTTCTTTTCTTCTTCTGTACTTACGGTATTTTGTAGCCTACTAGAGTAATCGTCTACAGAAATCCTGTGCATACACTATAAGATACAAAACTCAAGATTACCAAAGTCTTGTGCGATAACGGCAGAACTTGCCACGTCAAAGTGCCATTGCGGCATTTTGACCCAACTGTGGCGACTCGTTCACATTCTGCTGCTACAGTGGAATGCTAAGCTGCTTTCTGTCAACCCACGGACCCGAGCCAAGACAGCAATAAAGAATAAATTGAGATATCGAGTCTCGACGATGTACAACTGGATGCCTGATCATGCTGAACGTATGCATTAAGTGGAGGTAAAATGTATCTAATTGTCGCTATGCTCAACCGAAGCAGAGTGGATAAGCTTGTTACATAATAGTGACACTATCCATAAGTGTCAATGTGAATATTATCTAAATAGATGATATTCAGCAATATTACTATAAGGAATAATATTGTAGGAAAATAAACCTAGATGGTTATATTTCCTCGAATTTGTCTACACTCCTCCACCAATTGGTTGATGTGGGACATTGAATATCATCACACGTGCCGAAAAAATGAAAGTATAGACGCGCGCAATGAATGGTGAGCACTTCAGTCGCATACATAGTCGTAGCTAAAGCAAGATTCGGGATGATAAAAATTCGAAAGATTTTAACTATATTGAATCAACATGTCTCACCAATGTATACCCTTTGGTTGTGCTGCGTTTTGTCGCACTCGTGTACGTGATATTTGAGGCACATGCTACATTTTTGTCAGTGCAGAGTCGAATTTGTGGTGGGTGGTCGTGATTCAGTGTGCTGTGTACGTAGTATGTCTGAAAACATCCCCCCAAGAACCTGCGATAATAGTTTTTCATGCTTCTGAAGAAAAAACAAGTCCCCAGAAAGCAATCGCTAGAGGCACAAGTCATCAGAAATCAGCCAAGGCTTTGAACATCTTTGTTGACAACGTATCAAGTGTAAATTCTTATACACTTGATCTGATAGCGCCTCAAAAGTTAACTTTAGATATTTTTCAATTGCCGATGCTATAACCTAAGTGGTTCTTGCAGATCTGCATACTTGTCGCGGAGGACGACTACACGGTCGGGAATGGTATTCGATGAGAACACAAGTTTCGATGCAGATGCTACAGGAAAAATTGAAACGAACAGAAGCAAGTTGTACAGACTGTAACAACGCATCGAAAGCAATGAAGGATGCAAAACGACGGCAAGAGAGTAAGATGGCATAATGTCTACATCAGAGAACAAGAGACTCTAGAATAGATGAAAGTGTTTCGGACCAAGCTTGAAGCAGAGATGGAGCATTGGAAAGCTGTGAGTACTGAACGAAAGTGCTGACTTCGTTGACGTTGCAGATAGAAACATTGAGACAGCAACGTGTTTGCGAGAAGGAAAGCTTATGTTTGCAGATTGTAAAGCTGATTACAGCTTAAGCAGAACAGACACACTCAAGTCATTTGACAACTTTATAGCTGATCAACAAGTGGCTCTGGACATTATTCAAAAACTCGAGTCACAGTTGAATCAAAGACGTATGCTGGATAACGAACACAAATTTCGGTCAAGACGTTAAAAAGCCTGATGAAACATGCTGAACTCAGCAAAAAAAAGTCGCGGCTTGCGATGGTGGACGAAAGCATCAAACAGGAGTGTGCAAGACTAAAAGCTGACAATAAGCAAATTGCTAAGGAGCGACGACAATCTGTTGGTGAGACGGAAAGCTTACGTCTGGGGAATCTCAAGTTGACCCGGGCCTGTCACGAGCTGACGAAATCACTAAATGGCTTGAAGACGGACAACAAGCAATAATTGGCATTGGAAAAAGACCGCGATGCCATGAAAAAAACACAACTGTCGACTGCGCCAAGAGTTATCGGCTTTGAGATGGAGCTTCAGGCCATGGAGCATAAGCTTCAGGATAGAGGGATGAGGTTTTCGAGCGAGGCTGCCAATGCGCAGGATCAGTGTCATCGTCTTTCTGTGTGTTACGTATATCTAAATGTCAATCTGCTTAGTTGCAGGGGTATCAGAAATAGTTTGCTGATTTGAAAAGATTTTTTTGAGGAGCAAGGCAGTAGCTTGGATCTTTGGAAGACGCGAGATATCGCCGCGAGTCCCAAGAAGATGAAAATGTTCAAGCAAAGATTAAGCAGAACACCGGTAAGTCATTGGAAGAGCGATCGCCAGTGACTACATAAGGAAACAACAAAGAATCAAAGGACCAACCGGACCTCGGGAGGGGGCCAATAAACATGGTCAAGGTTAAAAAAATATTGAAGAGAAACCAAAATGCTCTCCCTATGTCCTCGTACAGGACACTTTGGGCCATGGCATCTATCACGTCCCAGAGAACCATCAGTCAAAGGTGATAATTGATAGACTATGGTCCCCAAGAAACAAAAAAACTACAAAAACCACAAAAGAGATCGCCATGTCCAAGCCGAGCAAGTTCAAGATGCAGAAGCAAGGCGGTAGGCTCCGCGACCTCAGGACCGTCGACCTGGTCGGACGCTGACGTGACAATGGCTTACCATCGACTCTAGCTCGACGCGTTTTTTAGGAGCAACCCGTCACGATGACCGTCAGGATCCGATTGCTGGGGTAGATCAGTCGACCTGTGTCGACCCTTTTCTAGCTGCGGACGGTGACAGACGCGATCACCGCACTAGTTACCCTCTTTCGAGAGGTAGGCATAGTAGCGGGGAGGTTCGTACCAGAAGGCGTTTTTCCCCGGAAATCGACAGTATCAAGACCACGTTAAAGATACTTCACAAACGTTTAGATATCCTTGTTGAAATATCCCCGGTACTGTTCGACTTACTTCCTACGACCGCCACGAAGGCACCGTCCAAAGACAGCTAGATGACGCTCTAAGTCATCGAGGTCCTTACTCAAACGCAATGGTCGACCGAGAATCCATAATCGATGCGAGTTCTACCACACAAAATACCCTGCCTCAAGGCATCAGAATATCAGTAGATATCATGCAAGAGGACGTGATACAACGACTCCGGGCAGATATAATCCTGAAATCCAAAGAGAAAGAAGACTGGGTGCGAGACTGAAAGCATACTTGAAGGAAAATTGGGTCGACCTGTCTCTGGGATCCGCTCGATCGTGCAGTAAGATGGCCAGGGATTACGAGATAAGCAAAAAGAGGCTACTAGTATATGGCCCCATCCAGAAGGTCCAGGGAGACGACCAAGAGGTGACGGCCAGATTGGTGATACCTGGAGTCTCCTAGCTGACATTCTGCATCACTATCGCACCAGTTTGGAGGGCAGTCACAAGTGTATCGGCTACAGACGAGTGAACCAGCTGACACGCCTAATGGTCTACCCAATACCATTGACCAGTAGATTATTGTAATACTTTCTCTAGACATGGCAAGTGGTTTATGGGTTGTCGAAATGACGGAGGCGCGAATAATTTTGGATTTTGTTACGTCTTTTGAATGATTTGAATGGCTACGTATACCTTTTGGAATGAAAATAATGCGCCACAGGTCTACTAATGTCTGATCGACAATGCACTACTTGAAGATCGGCACCGATATTGATCCGGCCACCACTCGATTGCCCAAGCTAATACATGTTGCTGAAGGTGAGCCAGAAACAAGTTGAGATCCATCATCACTCGGTCGAAGGTCATATGTTAATGACATATTGGTACATACTTGTCAGTCTCTATGAAAAAGTTGAAAGTTGATGTGTTGGATCGCGGAATTGCAACGCCAACGTGACGCACTGACAAATACTAATCGTTGTTTACTATTCCAACGTGTGTCGCAAATTAGTCTCATTTGTCAAGATGTTCGTAAAACCTGGCACTAGGTACAGTTACACTAAAGAGATGTAAGCTCAAAGTACAAATAACGGCCGTACCAAAATAGTGTGGTAGTTGTGTATGTATAACACACCTTTGTGTAACCATGTTCATGCGACAATCTCAAGCTTATTCATGACCAATCCATCAAATTCGTTCGCCATGTACATCAAAGAATATGACGATGTATACCGCAAAGGCCTCAAAATGTAAATAAAATACGAAGTCTATGTGGTATTGTCTGTTTATCTGATTAGTCGTCACCACCATTGATATCATCGGGCTCAAAATCTTCAAACTCGTCTCCTTCTTCTTCATGTGCGTCACTGCCTTCGGCTGTAGCCTCTGCCTCTGCAAGCATCTCTTTGTGCATTTCAATAGCCGTTTCGTACATGCCCAAGTACATTTCATTCGATACATCTTCCTTCGTGGCAACAGGCTCAGAGAGTTCATCTAGCTCTTTCGTAATCCATTGGCATGCACCTACAGTATCTATCCAAACACCAATGTTTTGCGAAGTATAGACAAATGCTTCTTCGATAGACCCTTGCTTGGGATCGCTAATGTCGTCCACATACTCCATGACTTGGAAGAACGTCTCATGGTAAGCGATCACCACAGCCATGAACGGGTTCAATCGAAATGCCCTGCGGAACGCTGCTTGTACAACTTCTTCCGACGATCCTTTTTCTTCCAGTACCTCCCACGACACATACTCGATAATCACTTGACAGTACGCTAGCACAGCCGATTCCTCGTCCATATGTTTTTCAATCAAGGCCCTCGCTTCTGCACCACGACCTTCGTCCACCAACGCACACGTAAGACCCTCTCGTGAGTAGAGAGAGTCATTCTTATCCAATTTCATACACAATTCATAGTTTTTAATACCGCGATCAGGCATTGCAGCTTCACAGCATGCAACAGCGAGTTGTTTTACTAGACTGCACAACAGAAGAGATAAAAGAAAAAAGTCAGTCAAACAGGCAGAATCACATTGCAACAAGCAACAGCTTCATGCATCACAATGTAATTAGTACCAAATATATTCTCTCGTGTCCTTATTCTCTGCCATTTTTCCTTCCCGCAACATCTTGTCGTACAAATCAAAGGTCTCCACTGGTTTAGGAAACTCATTGCCACTTTCATCCAATTCTCCTGCTGCAATCTTTGCTACAAGTGCCGCTGGTCGAGCTGCACCCTTTAACTTCCATTCCGATGGTAATAATGGTCCTTTACGAGCACGAGCTTTTGGTGGTGACGGATTCTTAGGGAAGGCACGTAACTCTTGCAGTTTACGATCCACTGAGCGTTGTAGCTGTACCACACGCAGACGTCGTCTATTCTTCAGCTTTTTATCTTTATGACACTCCATATTATTAACACAATTCCTTGCAAATGCCTGCGCTCGACCTGCAGTTGAAGACCGAGCACCCTTCCTCTTTTTCGGCTTGCCACCCATTTCTATAAAAGTTCGAGTTAACGTTAATGACTTATTTACTACCAATCAGAGTGAAAGCGATACTAGGTAGCTATATCGGTTTATACAAGTCTAAATATTGCAAATAAAAGCATAAAATCAACAAGTGGATGTGGCTGGCTTAGAAAACGACACAGAGGATGCTGATGCCTATGCGAAGACTCATAGGACGTTACTGCGCAACGCCACTGAGTGTGAATGCGCGCTCATTTGCAGCAAAGGGAAAGGGTAATGCTGCCGTCGTAGAGGAGGTGGTGGATTTGACAAAGGTGGTGCCTACAAACATTTTCAAGGATGGCACGCACCCAGAGCTTAAAGAGAAGTCTGAATACCCTGAATGGCTCTTTACGCTGCTTGAGCCTAAGCTTACGTTGAGTGAACTAGAGCGTATTGGCTTTGATAATCTGGAACTAGAGGACCAGCACCACTACCTTGTGCTAGTCAATCGTGGATTGATTAAAGCGAGCAATGCTGAAAAGGCTAAGAAGTAATGGAGACTATAGACAATCGGGAACTCAAAGGTGGCGCTGGAAGAAACAGGCATACAGACAGATTGGTAAGATCAACAATGACAGATAACGTATGTTAGGTTCACCCAAGTGTTAAGTCGTCACGAAAGTCATTGCTGCTTTCCGTGTTTTTTATATACTTTTACTTGTTGGGGCCGTGTCTTGGTATGATATCAGGTGCTGTTGACCTGTTGCTGCTGTTGCTATTATCTGATACAAGCACTCTACCATTTGCCAACAATATCTGCTTCCTAGGACGTTGTCGGGAATCCTCCGGGCACAAGCTGCAATGCATTGAACACAATGTGTTCGTTATCCATTTAGCACCAACATGCGAGTAAGATCGCATGATTAGAAAGTCACCACAATTTCAACGTACCAAGCAGACGTTGTTTCCATTGAGCAGAACTTGGTCTAACTTTACTTCACGCTTTCCATCCGGAGTAATCTCGCTATTGCCACAAGTACCAAACGCAACGACAACATTCAAATACTGAGGTTAGCGACAATTTCACACTTCTGATTTAATTACAAAGGACTCTAGCAACGTACTACTCCGTTACGTCATCCAATACCATGTCTAGCATACAGAACAACAGAGTACAGCAGCCAGCACATACCAAAAACGTTTAGCACTCTCTTTTTGTCTCACTTCAGCCACAGCGTTTCACCATAAAGTTACAGAATACAACAGCATATTAACACTGTAGCCACAACTTACTCACGTAATCGTCAAATCCTCGAAGTGTCCCAAGAAATTCTTTATCGCCCTTCATCACGATCCAGAGCTTAGAACCAATGCATTTGTCAATTAACTCTAGATACAGAGAATAAACATACAGCAACAGAAAAAAGAAGAAGGTATTAGTAAGCTAAGCTAAATGTTAGCAATGTACGATCATAATCTTGTGGTTAAATAAGACCGAGACACATACCAAGTGGTAAGATACGGCCTTGGGACATTATCGTTTGTCTTTATTTAATGGTCGCGTTATTGGATCGGACCATAGGTTTATGGTGTGTGAATACACCAACCTTCTGTAGCATACACCGATTCTTTGTAGCATACATTAATCTTCTGTAACATACACCATTTCTAACAAACCCACTGTTTAACTCAATGGAGCACGATCCCGAGGAGCAAGAGCACTACAAGTCGGTATTACTATCATTTCGTGAATATGAGTCCTTTATGATGCGTGAAATCTATCGGCGTAAGAAACATCTACAGTCAATGCCCATTGATATGCAACGACGTCTACCGCAGTCTTCTACAATTCGCAACCTCCATCATTTTGTCAATGCAGCGCATCACAATCAGGTCTTCTTTGAACGTGTGGTACAGGCGCAACTGGAGAATGGACCGGCCTATGAGCTTCCATTGGTAACGCCTCAGACATCACTACAAAGTCCTCCGCGCCATTTTTATAAGCTAAAAAGCACACTACACCAATTTGTGCGTGACTGGTCTGATGAGGTAATGATGTCACCATCTTGAGGCCTAGAAATTGCTGCATTCTTCTGATTGATAGTGTGGTTATTTTCTTGTTGTTGCAGGGAAAGAAGGAACGTGATATGTGCTACACTCCCATCATCAAAGAACTGCGTCGTGTCTTGCCTCTTGATCCAGACAACCCGTAAATAGATGGCTCCTCTTGTCTCTCACTTGTGAATCCATCAACGTTGCTAAGCATTTGTATGATATGGGACAGAACGGATCGAGCTCGAGTTCTTCTTCCCGGTGCAGGATTGGGTCGGCTTGCACTAGAAATCGCCTCGAAGGGCTATTCGGCCCAGGGCAATGAGTTCTCGTATCAGATGTTATTTGCAAGCAACTTCATCCTCAACTGGTAGTTTTGCTCGAGCCTAGATGACCCGTATGCTCTGATGAGCTAACTATTTTTTTCACTCATGTCAACAGGGTAACGCAACCGCTTCAGTTTGAGATTCACCCTTGGATCCACAATCCATCGAATGCGCTGACAATCACGGACCTATTGCGACCCGTGGCGATCCCAGATGTAGCACCAGCTGAGCTTCTGGGTCTTAACAATGGCTCTGTTACTCCTCCAGACTTTTCTATGTGTGCTGGCGAGTTTCTAGAGGCGTATGCCAACGACAAAGGTAGGTTGGATTATGTCTTAGCTACAGATGCAGCAAATTAGAGCCTAATGCTTCCGTTTTTTTGTCCTGTAGAGTGTTGGGACTGCATTGTGACGTGCTTTTTCATTGACGCGGCACCAAATGTGATCGAGTACATTGCAGCATTCGAACGTCTTCTGAAGCCTGGTGGCTATTGGATCAATTTGGGTCCACTTCTTTACCACTGGCAAAGCAGTAGCAGTGGCGATGACGAGCGCTATGAGCAGTCAGTCGAGCTCTCGTACGAGGAGATTAAGCACGTGATGAGCACGTACAACTTTCGCATACAAAAGGAATCACAGCGCGAATGTCTGTACACGGACAATGTCAAAAGTATGATGAGAACGGTCTTTAATTGTGCCTTTTTCACCGCTGTGAAGGAGACTGGTCGTGTCTAACGTGACAAGAAGGGAAGGAACGAATACAACTTTGATGTCGTACTACTGTCAACTGCTTGAATTCATCCGTCGTTCTGTAAATTCTTATCATTCATTTGTTCTTTATATCGCTTTCGTGCCACACGCTTCCACTTTTACTTGACTCGTCACGAGATGTCACTACTCAGTCGAGATCGTCGTCATCATAGTCGTCAGCTAGCGGCTTCATGGCAGCTGTATGCACGGGCACATCCTCACCCATACGCACCATTTCTGGATTTCCTTCGACTTCCATTTCACTTTCCATCTGTCGCTTTAGTCGTGCATGGAGTTGTTTCGACTGTGACGGTCCTGGCAGTAATGCATTCTGTCCTCGTGGTGGTGTTTCCATCTTTAGTTTATGGATAGATTTATAATGATACCATACTACATTTCCATTGGCTAAAAATGCTTTAGAGATTATTCATGGGCACCACATCACTTTCTCGTCCATAGTCATCATTTTCCCCCAAATCTTTTTAATATCAAAATCGATAGTGAAGATCCGATACAATGGACCGACTACAGCGTCTTTTTGGCAATTTACCGGGACTTCCAGGTCAAAGTGGACCTGGTAATGATGGTCCACTCGTTGATACAGCAGAAAAGGTTCATATTTCGTCCTTAGCATTGCTTAAAATGCTTAAACATGGTACGACATATGGTTGTTGTGAGTATATTCTTCATAATGATTGCATTCTTACAATTAATTGTTTCAAATGGACCAATCACAGGACGTGCTGGTGTTCCAATGGAAGTAATGGGTTTAATGCTGGGTGAATTTGTAGATGACTATACCGTCAATTGTATCGACGTATTTGCCATGCCTCAGAGTGGAACGGGTGTGAGTGTTGAGGCTGTCGATCCAGTTTTCCAGATGAAGATGCTTGAGATGCTTAAGCAGACAGGAAGAGCAGAAATGGTTGTTGGTTGGTATCATTCCCATCCTGGATTTGGCTGTTGGCTCTCGGGTGTAGATATCAATACGCAGCAAAGTTTCGAGGCACTCAATCCACGCGCCGTGGCGGTAGTAGTAGACCCGATTCAGAGTGTTAAAGGCAAAGTCGTGATTGATGCATTCCGTCTAATTAATCCACAGCTTATGATGATGGGACAAGAGCCTCGGCAGACGACTTCCAACATTGGTCATCTTAATAAACCATCGATTCAGGCACTGATACATGGACTAAATCGCCATTATTACTCGATTGCGATTGACTATCGCAAGAACGAACTTGAGGAGAAAATGCTCATGAATTTGCACAAAAAGACATGGAGTGACGGCCTTATGCTTACCAAGTTTGAGGATCACTCGAAGGAGAACGAGACAACAGTAAAGGTGCGTGGAGTCCTGGAAAAAACCCCTTGTGCTGCAAAATCAATTTGATCTGTTAGTTAACGTTATGTTCATGTTGTTGTTGGATTTGACACTGTAGACTATGTTAGCACTTACGGAGCAGTACAACAAACGGGTTCAGGAGGAGGAAGAAAAAACGCCTGAGGAGCTCGAGGTACTAAATGTTGGCAAATTGGACCCGAAGAAGCACCTGGAGAACGACGTGTACGATCTCATGGCCCTCAACACAGTCCAGTGCCTCGGCGCTATGCTTGACACCATTGTGTTCTAGATGCAGCAACCTACTCCGCAGCAGTAGAATCAGCAGACAAAAAAGCCAAAAAATACATCCTGTTTGCTGTGCGCGTCATTTTCTTGTTACTTCGTTCATTTTGTTTACAAGTATTTACAACACAAATGCAAGATTCTACCACTAGTAATCGATCAGCACATGCGAAAGCCATTATTATGCAAGCTGTCGCAGCTCATTGACTTTGACAGGACGATTCTCCGCAAGCGACTTGTTTGCCGCCAGAGCCAGCAACAAAGCCTCACGACCATCATTACCGCCAACAGGAACCGAAGCACCATTCGTAGTGCACACATGGATGAAAGCCTCCATCTCCGCCACATATGCATCCATATAGCGCTCCAGAAAGAAATGAAGCGGCAAGTCACGACGCACGCTTTCATTCGTAGACACCACCACCTGGTTCGAGTACTTGTTATCACATGCAACGGAGCCCTTTGACCCCAGAACCTCCACGCGTTGGTCATACCCATACGCCGCCTCTCGGCTGTTCTCAATGTAACAGATGACACCGTTATGGAACTTGAGCAGCACTACAGCCGTGTCAATGTCGCCTGCTGCTGCAATGTCGAGATTCACGCTCTGCGCCATGGCATAGACCTCATCGACTTCGTCACCAATAAGAAATCTCGCCATGTCGAAGTCATGGATAGTCATATCGTGGAACAACCCTCCAGAGCTTTTGATGTAGCTTACAGGTGGTGGACTAGGGTCACGGCTTGTGATACGCACCATGTTAATCTTACCTACCTCATCATAGTCGATAGCTCGTTTAACACGAAGAAAATTGGCATCAAAACGACGATTGAATCCAATCATAAGCTTCACACCAGCATCGTCAGCCTATCACAAAAGCAGGACCATCAAAAGATATTCAGCTACTATCAATCCAGCCACGCTGCCAACGACCAGAACGCACCGCTACGATGGCCTTACTGACCACTTTCGGACATAAGTCGATGGGCTTTTCACAAAAAATTTGCTTCTTGTATCTAGCTGCTTCAATAATATGCGCCGCGTGCAAGGCAGTTGGAGAACAAATAACGACGGCATCAATCTCCGGGTCACGAAAGATCTCAGACGCGTCTTTTGTCCAGCGTACATTACCAAATTGTGCAGCTGTTGTCTCCGCCACATTATCCACGGGGTCAGCAATCTACACGAAGCGCAAGAAAAGCAGTCACGTTGTTAATTACATCACGATTATTGCCACGTCCGTCATCTTCTTCTTTGTATTAAACCATAGCAATAGTAACTCCAGCGCGTTGCAGACTCTGTGCATGGACTTTTCCAATGCGACCACCACCTACGAGACCCACACGTAAACGTTTCGACAAGTGGGAATTGAGCATATTTCGGTCGGTATTACAAGATTCTAGAAAGTTTTAAGTGGTGGAAAATCGCAAAATGAGCTTGATCATGTAGGACAAGTAACGTTCAATTGTAGACGTTACATTGAGCATTGAGTTTTAACCAATCATTGGCACTGTCGTTTCAAAATGTCGGACCTCTTCATTGCAATTCATTGACTTGTGACTTGCAAATTGAGTCAAGCCAATTCAAATAGCTAAGAATGTTGTTCTTATGTAATGAATGTTTGCACTAATTGATAGGCATTGGATATAACAATTCCGTGCGTGTCAGTGAAGAGAAATCCTGCACTTTATATTGGCACCATGTATAAGCCTAGAGACGCCAGGAAGGAAGCGGAAAATCTCAATTATTGCTGCTGTAGGTTGACGCAGATGGCAATGGATCAATTACATTCGTGTCAATATACGAGCAAGGATTGACTGGGATATCAGTCGATCTGTAACGTCTCGTATACTGTCTAGAATGCTGTTGGTGTAGCTGAGACGATTTACTGTAATTTTAAGCTTGACGAAGTAAACAAAGATGTGGAAGCTGGGGCCGGGAGATATACTCCATTCGTATACTTGTGGACCTATTTCTTACGGACTCTAGCCACAACGTTATAGGAAGAGGTCTTGGAATGTGGTGGCAAACCTTATTAAGATATCATCTGCTTCTCCATGGATGCCAAAGTGGAAACTATGATTGCAACAATGGTGGCAACGCAACGAATATGGAGAAACAAAAGCATGCCAGACTTTGTGGGATAGAGCAATGTGCTGCAAGTAGGTTATGTCTCAGTCAATGTATGATGGCTGCGCGCTGAAAAAGCTACTGGTGAGATCCTAGTCGTAGTGGGAGTATTCGCAGCTCTATCGTGATTCTGAGTCTGCAATAGGCCAACTTGTTGGAAGAGCTGGCTGCGTCTTGATGCTCGTAATCCTTCCCATCGTTGCCTTCATTACTTTGAGGAAGGCAAGTTATTTGAATGTAGTACAAGTCTGAAATGACTGGAATGACATTTTTCGTCATATGATTCAATAACCACAGCACCAGCTACAACGAAACTGACAGCAATAGCGACAGTTGTGGCAACTGCACTGGCAAGTGAAAGATTGGTTGACATAGTATGTTCGTGGTAGTCATGTGGCCCTATTTGCCGTATCAACAAATCAAGACCCAAATGGTCTGAATGAAAAGAGCATTAGCATGAGACAAATGAAGCTGATGCAAGAACCACTTGAGACTGATATTGCGTTGAAGATGATCTGGGCATGTTTGAATTATATCGCGCGGTGAGAGTATGAAGCTGGCGATTGGAAAAACATCTAGGCATGGTTTCAATTTATTTGACGCGTAAGAAAGAATATCAAGGCTCTTAAGGACAGTTTGCTTTCATCCAGTCGTCATTCATTTTCGTATGGACTTGGACAGTGGTCATCATCAGGTTTTCGTCAGTAGCAAAGACATGCAGCTCGCCATAAAATATATCCGTCTGGTGTGAGCCACTGGGTAAAGCTGAAGTTGTGCTGCCATGTCGTCCGCCTATTGTTCAGCTTCAGGTAAGATTAGCGCTCTTTCAAACTAAGAGACCGGTATGCTCTCGTGTTGCCTTTTTCTTATTGTTTGAGACTATTGAACTGCTCCGTACGAGAAAGAAGAACATGTCACATGAGAAGAGCTGAAGTCTTTGTGTTGCGACTAGTTAGATACAGAAGAGCTCGAGAGTGACGGGTGTGGATATTGGCTATAGCTTAGTTCGCATGTGACTTACAGAGTTTTCTCTTCCCTGAAATATGACAGCAGCATCTTCGTGATATTTTTTGTACTTTTTTCTCGACAAAGAAGCACCCGTATCGGCATGAATCTGACCTTGGCTTGCCTTTGAACTGGTTCACCAACGAGTTTGAGCAATGTGAAGGAACAGCAGTGAAGGACCTACGACTACTAGTAGACGTGTTGTAAAGCGATTGCCAAGCACTTCGTCCTCCGAGAAGGACGTAAAGTTTGAGCCAGCCACCTCACGAACACATAGCAATGGGAATCGACATGTCCTATATTATAGGAGTTCTTATCGAGTCGGTATTTCCGTCAAAAGCTGAGTCAAGAACATTAACCACGTAGCTCATTGACCTTGACAGGACGATTCTCCGCAAGCGACTTGTTTGCCGCCAGAGCCAGCAACAAAGCCTCACGACCATCATTACCGCCAACAGGAACCGAAGCACCATTCGTAGTGCACACATGGATGAAAGCCTCCATCTCCGCCACATATGCATCCATATAGCGCTCCAGAAAGAAATGAAGCGGCAAGTCACGACGCACGCTTTCATTCGTAGACACCACCACCTGGTTCGGGTACTTGTTATCACATGCAACGGAGCCCTTTGACCCCAGAACCTCCACGCGTTGGTCATACCCATACGCCGCCTCTCGGCTGTTCTCAATGTAACAGATGACACCGTTATGGAACTTGAGCAGCACTACAGCCGTGTCAATGTCGCCTGCTGCTGCAATGTCGAGATTCACGCTCTGCGCCATGGCATAGACCTCATCGACTTCGTCACCAATAAGAAATCTCGCCATGTCGAAGTCATGGATAGTCATATCGTGGAACAACCCTCCAGAGCTTTTGATGTAGCTTACAGGTGGTGGACTAGGGTCACGGCTTGTGATACGCACCATGTTAATCTTACCTACCTCGTCATGGTCGATAGCTCGTTTCACACGAAGAAAATTGGCATCAAAACGACGATTGAATCCAATCATAAGCTTCACACCAGCATCTTTCGTCTATGATTTACAACCAACACATAACCGCAACATTTAGATCAATAAAGACGATAGTCCAGTCCTGTGACAACGAAATGTGGTCGACAGTACGCACCGCCATGATGGTTTTATTGACGACGTCGAGATCAAGATCCAGGGGCTTCTCACAAAAAATGTGTTTTTTGTTCCTAGCAGCTTCAATGGTTTGCTCTGCGTGTCTGTCTGTAGGCGAGCAAATAATCACAGCGTCAATCTCTGGATGGTTCAGGACTTTGGACACGTCATTGGTCCAATTGGGAATGCCGTAGTTCTTGGCGATTTTCTCAGCGCGATGGGGATCAGATTCCTACAAACACAGCAATAGAAGATTAGTCCGTTCAGCACACTGAATGGATACACAAGATATGAGAATACTCATATAACTGCATCACTCTACACGAAAAGGCAGTTGAATACAGTGGACCACAGCGCTCGTGCGTTGAACACTTTGGGCATGGACTTGTCCAATGCGTCCAGCACCTACGATCCCTACGCGTAGAGGGCGATTAAAGGTGCTTGATGCTATAAATCGAGCACAGGAAAGACGAAGAGATACACTGTATGTTTGATGAAGCAGTGCGTACATTGCAAGGTCTCTTTCCTTCGAGCGTAGAATCAGAGAATATGCGCATGAATGGATGGCGTCATGCCATCAAAGCAAGTTGAAGCTATCAACATTCGATCGTGTTTTGTCATATTTGGTGTACCAAACACAAGCTGCAGCAGCTCACGCAACATAGTCAATATGATAGGATGTGGCTGCGATGGATCACTTTACGACTGGCAGTGAACGAAGCGCGCAATCTCGTGTGTATTTGGAGCAATGGGCAAAGCTTTAAAGGTATTAGAGAGCGCATCTCGTCGGGAACTACAGGCATTAGCAAAGACATTGAAGCTCTGTCGAGGCAATGCAAAGTCGGACGTGATTGTGACCCACGCCAAAGAGTTCATCGACAACCACCCGATGGATGGCGAGCAGCAGGTGCTAGATGCATTGGGTAGCAGTGAAAGTGTAGTACCAGTCACATCGTCACAAGAAGTGGATTTTAAAAATGAGGAGCAGCCGGAGGACGAACCAGTGGAGAAGATTGAGACCAAAGACGTATGCGTTGAGACTAAACGAGTGACGCCGAAGGAACAGGAGAAGATAAAGAGCAAGCAAGTGTTGTCTCCTACAGATACCAGTGAGTCGTCTCCTACCACTTCATTGTCTGCAAAGAGCTTTGAGTCTCCTGTGACGACAACTGCATCATTGGCTAAAACGTCTTTCACTATTGCTGGTAAAACTCGACCGACAGCAAGCGCCACGACTACCAAAATGACTGCACCGATCAGTAAGAAAGCAGGAGTTACGGCACGTAAAGCCGTAGAAGCTCTTGTCAACTCTGCGGGTGATCTGACATTTGTTGGAGAATCACGAGTGCGCTGTTCCACAACGGGACACGAGATGCTGGCAGATGTGAACATTATTAACACGTACCTTTGTGGTAAGCGTTACCAAAAGGCACGTAACCTCAAGCTTTCTTTTGCAAAGTATGCACCAATGTTTGTGGATCACCCTGACGAATCAAAGACAGATATGCTGTGGTGTAATGTGACCGAGTTAGCCATTGCCCGAGATGAAAAGCGTGTGAAAGACCACATGACTGCCCCTAGATATCAGAAACAATTGCCTATTTGGAAAGAGCAAGAGGCTGCAAAGAAGAAAGCAGAGGAAGAAGAGAAACAACGTCGAGCAGCTCGCATGGAGGCGTTAAAGAAGAGGAAGCTTGATGCTGCAAATGCAAAAGAAAATGATGATGATGGTGATGATGATGACGCATCATTGAGTAAGCGGTCGATCAAGCGAAAACGCCGATCTGTCAAGTTGGATAAGTAACTAGATTACACGAATGTGGTTGTGTAATATTTCAATAGATTCTGACAGGTTGACTGACTGACTGACTGATTGACACTTTACACAAAAAAGTACTGGTTTTTAAATCGAAAGTTCTGGAATTGGTGACTCAAATGTAACATTTCTCGTTCATTTTTCATTTTTGTGCTAGAATTCTACTAATAGTGCTAATTGTTACTTCACAATGTTTGGAGGAGACAACGCGTTGCCCTTTTCGCGCCATTCCGACGTGTTGCATGGGATCGTACCTACGGATTCCAACGAGCTGGAACATCTTGTACAGGAGCTCAAGCGTCGAGGTAATGCCGCATTCCAACAGAATGCATTGGAAGAGGCTGAGGTACTTTACTCACGGGCCATTACCGTGAACGAGCGTGATCCGTTGCACTGTCAGCATATCTTTTATGCTAATCGTTCAGCTACACGCTGCTCGATGGGGAAAGCAGAACAGGCACTAGAGGATGCAAAAGCTTGTGTGGCACTGGATGCTACCTATGCAAAGGGATTCTTTCGCATGGCACAGGCACTTGTCAAACTCGGCCGCTTTAACGAAGCGCTGACTGTTTTAGACAGTGCCAAGGCTCTTGAGCCTAGCAACAAGTCGGTCATGACGTTGTATACAAATGTGCAGGAGATGGCCAAGAACCAGAAAGAAGCGCCAGCCACCTTGGCTCCCAAGAAGGTAGTGACACGTATGGAAGTGGCACCATCTAGTCCTGATACTACTGCACCATCCAGGACGACCACTTCGGTTGCTGCGGGTTCTGACAGTTATGGACGAGGAAGCCGAAATATCTGGTCACGTTCGCGGTTACAAGAAACTAGCGGACGGACGCGTCACTACTTTCTTTAACAATGAACTTACGGAGGAGGCGAAGCAACTTATTGGTGACATTGCTCCCAAAAAGGTAGAGGACCCCAATAAGGTGCAAATCAAAAGTGTCGACGGTGGGTCGGCCTGGAACCAGGGTAACACATTTGAGGAGAAGGATATGACGGTATGGGCCAAGAACAAGTTGGAGAAGGTTCTGTCGGGAATATCGGCTCCATTGGGCACGGGTGAAGGTGTTGTGACATCGCTAGAGGTATCAAACCTCGAGGGTGACGCATCCATTGCCGTAGTGCGTGGCGCAAAACGTTACATTTTTGATTTTGCGCTCACACTAGCTTGCACGTTGAAACAAGGAGATAATGAGGTGACGGGTGACCTGAAGTTTCTCGATTTGAGCTCGGACTGTGGCGGTGACTATGACGTTGAGGCTATCGTTCCTAGTCGTTATCAGTTAGAGGGAGGCAAAGCATTGCATGCAGCACTCAACTCGCCGTCGTCACCATTCCGCAAGGCACTTGCTGCACAATTAGCTTCGTTCGTCCAGGAATATCACACATTCTGATTCTATAATACACGGGGCTTTAGTTTATCCGTCAAGGTTTATAGTTTATCCGTCAAGGTTTATAGTTTATCCGTCAAGGTTTATAGTTTATCCGTCAAGGTTTATAGTTTATCCGTTTATAGTTAATCTGTTAAGGTTTATAGTTAATCTGTTAAGATTTTCTGAAATTTCTAAAGCTGATGTTTGCAACGCTTATTACCGATATACACCGTCCACGACTGTACCAAAACAATGGCACTGCAGTATTAATGGCGAGCACTAGTCCACAGCTTGAATCGCCATAGAGAAAGCGATCGTTAGCAGCCAATACTTGTGTCTATTGCAAGCTTCTTGTTGTTTTGTCTTTGAGATTATGTCAACTGTGGGTGTAGCTTCTTCCTCGTCTTCTTCTATTGAGATGGATGAGGCTGGTAAGAAGATGATTGCAGTGGGTGGAATGCAGAACATGGCGTGGGCTGCGGACACGTCCAAGTTTGGTTTTAAGATGCTTGTTAAAATGGGTTGGTCAGCTGGTAAAGGTGTAGGAAAGGATCTTCAGGGCCAAGCAACACATGTGAAGATCTCAAGACGATCCGAGAATTTGGGTGTAGGCTGTAGTCTTAAGCAGGCAGAAGTGCAGGGCTGGGCTGAAACAGCAGGAGACTTTGCAGATGTGCTGAAAACACTAAACAAATCATACGGTAGCAAGTCAAGTGTCGAGACCAACAGAAACGCTGATGAAAGCTCTAGTAGTATCAAGATGAAGCAGAAGAAGGACAAGGAGAAGAAGAAGGACAAGGAGAAGGAGAAGAAGAAGAAGAAGAAGAAGAGCAAAAAAGTTGAGAAAACTATCGTCTCACGACGACTTCATTACCGTAAACGACAGATTCATAAGGATGCAAAGAATTACGGAGCTTGTGAAATGGCTGCCATTCTAGGTGCTGCATCATCTGTCTACAAGTCAAGTATTGAATAAACAGACCCGAGTATATTACATTACAGCAAAGTATGAGGCGCTTGTGTTACATGTGACGTCCATCTATTGCATACTGTAAGAATCGATATACTCGATATCTACCATTCTTTTCAAACCACATATCCCTCTGGATTCTTATCCACTACCGTTACTGTTATATCAAATCACCTTGCTGTCTTCGATTGGGCTTAAGAACCTCTTAAATCTAATACTATTAAGCCACTGGTTGTAAAGAGCTATTCATTCCATCATTCCTTCACTAGGACACACTATGGCCAGTGTCTTTGTGCGGAATTTACCATTTGGCGTAACACAGGAGGAATTAGAGCCTATTTTTAGTACTATTGGACCTACTAAGAAGATTGATGTGATTAAAGAGAAAGGAAAACAAAAGAATGAAATACTTACACGTGGATTTGCCTTTATAAAGTTGTACGTGTAGAATTTATCCGTGTCATTTCTAATAGATTGCATCGCTCGTAAGTAATTAATCTATGTATACGATGTATATGATGTATACGGCGTATACGATGTTATCTATGATATAGTGCAGTTGAGAATGATGCAAAAGTAGCTGTTGAGAAGCTCAACAAGACGGACTTTCAAGGCCGTAAAATGTTCATTGGTGCAGTGATCTTTATTGATGATTTGACATGACGACAGAGATCGATACAATGGAGCTGATAGGTTGTTTACTATGGATGGTATTGTAGATTATGCAATTGAAAAGGGTAAACGTCAAAGAGGTGGTGGTGTTGCTACATCTGTGGCTGCTGAAAAGTCCAAGCAGGAGGAGAAAGTAAAGCAGGAACGAGAGATAAAGCAAGAGGTGGAGGTCGAGCAAGAGTCAGGTGTGAAGCAGGAACTGGTAGATGATGTGCACATGGAAGACACAGAGCAGACAAAACACGAAAACAAGGAGAAGAAAAAGAAGAAGGAGAAGAAGATTAAGCAAAAACGAAAGGTGGCAAAGGAAGAACGCTGCGTAGCTAAGACGGAGCTCAAAGTAAACGATGAGGTGGACAACGAATCTGCTGACGTTGAGCCACAAGAGAAGATTAACTCATGCAAGGTAAAGCAGGAAGCAAAAGTCGAGTCCACGCTTACTCCGGTCGCTAAAGCTTTGGCTAAACCGAGCACGCAGACGACGAAACATGTGCAGAGTGATCGCAATGCGCGCCGCCGACAACATCGTGAGTTCTTGCGCAACGTAGAGCGCCGCAAGGAGGAGCAGGCAAGCGTTGAGCAAAAGTCTGTGCTTATATTTGGCCTGGGCACTCATGTGACTCAGAAGCATGTGCTGAAGAAAGTAAAAAAGATTGGCGCTGTGGAAAAGGTCGAACTCAAAGAAGAGGTTCGAAGTGGCAAAACTTACGCTTTCGTGCAGTTTAAGACCACGCAGGACGCGGCACTGGCTGTGACGAAGCTGGACCATCACATATTTAAGGGCTCAGTTCTGCAAGTGAAGAGTGCAGCTATGGCTGCTGTGGTCGATGACCAGAAAACAATTGGGAAACCGGGTCACCCGAAACTCGCAGCTGAGACAGAAGGGCTGCGTCTTATTGTGCGCAACTTGGCTTTCCAGACCACAGACGAGGATCTAGAGAAGCTTTTCGAGAAGCATGGCCCTCTGTTTGAAGTGCGGATAGTGCGTATGCCAGTGGAAGAGGACGAGCTGAAGGGTGACGAGACAGATAAGAAGGCTACTACTGAACCAGTTCTTGGGCGTAGCCGCGGATTTGGCTTTGTTCAGTATCGCGACGTGGCTGATGCACGTGCTGCTGTAGAGAAGCTAAATGGAACGAAACTTAAGGGCCGTGAAATGATTGTGGATTTTGCACTATCTAAGACAAAGTATCTTGCACAGCAAAAGGAGCAGGCAGACGAGACAGTGGTTTCCGCAGCTGTAGAGAATGATGACGATGAAGAGGAGGTTAATAGTGGTGACAGAGATGAAGATCAGCTTGAGATGGCCACCGATGATGAGACAGATGCTGGATCGGACGATGAAGAAGAAGGGCATGAGAAAACTGCTACTTTACCTCCGATAGAAGACACAGAAGCACAACGCGAGCGCACGCTCTTTGTCCGTAACCTGTCCTTCCAGACGACGGAGGCTGGGCTGCGTGAGTTCTTTCAAACTTTTGGGGCTGTTGAGTATGCGCGCATCGTTTATGAAAAGGGATCAGGCTTGTCGAAGGGAGTTGGGTTTGTACGTCTCGAATCTGCTGACGTGGCTGCAGAAGTTTTGAAACGGGGTGAACAACCTCAAGTTGACGATAAAAAGAAGCATAAGAAGGAAAAGAAGAAGGAAAACCTGTTCACATTGTCTGCTTTGGCTAGTGGTGGCGACGACGCCTTGACGTTAGACGGACGTCAGCTTATCCTGTCGCGTGCTGTGTCGAAGACCGATGCTGAGCATCTAGCTGACTCCAATGCTCGTGAGCGTCGTCGTTTAGATAAGCGTAACTTGTATCTAGCGTATGAAGGCACACTCAACGTGAACAAGATGGCGGATGCCGAGCTGGAGTTGCCGAAGATGGACATTGACAAACGTCGACGCGCCATCCGCGAGAAGAAGCTGAAGTTGCAGAACCCGATGTACTTTGTGTCTCCCGTCCGTCTTTCAGTGCGTAATTTGTCCACAGTGCTGGACGATCGCAACTTGAAGAAGCTTTTCCATGATGCAGCGAACGCTGGTATGTTTTCCGGGATTGTGGACCGCTCAGAGATTAAGCCAGAGCTGCTGCCGAAGGGTGGAAACCCTACGGTGAAGGTTCGTATGGCCAAGGTGGTGCGCGACATGGAATCAGCGAAAGCTGGTAAGGACCCGCGGTCACGTGGCTACGGTTTTGTCGAGTTTTCAGAGCATTTGCATGCATTAGCTGCTCTGCGTGTTCTGAACAACAACCCCAAGTACACATCGTACGCTGCTGGCCGGGTGGCTACTTCTGGTGCTTCCGATAGCTCAAAATCGCGCCTTATTGTGGAATTTGCGCTAGAAAACCACGGTAAGCTGAAGCTGCGTGAGAAGCGTGCGGCTGACTCTGCCAAAAAGCGCGAAGAAGAGCGTGCGCTGAAGGAAGCACAAGGCAAGGACGGTGAAGATGCTGAAAAGACGAAGAAAAGTCGTGGTCAACGTCAGCGTGAGAAGAAGAAACTGCGTGCTTTGGCTAAGGCCGACACTAAGGTGGAAACGGAGGATGGACAGAAGAAGCCCAAGAAAGCAAGTAAGGTAGCCAAGGAAGTAAAGCAGCAGCCGAAAAAGCGGAAACGCGCTGAGGTTTTACCTGACGATGTTGAGGATGATGCACTCGCCTCTCTAGAGACGGCTCATATTGCGAAGAAGGGTAAGGCGTTGTCTCGCAGCCAGCGCAAGAACATTAAAGAGATCGAAAAGGACAAGTCGTTTGAAGAGATGGTGCAAAGTTACAAGAAGGAGATTTTCGGCGAAAAGCCTGTGGCGGAAGGTGTGTCCAAGGAGGATGAAAGCATGAAGAGCGCCGAGCGTTGGTTTGACTAGTTTTATTAGGACTTGTTCGGTCTTGGTGTATGTAGTAGGAGATATCTACCATGCAGCCATGCTGGTTCGAAGACAATTTCGTGCTTTGCAAACCGCACAACGGGCTTGTATGTATGAATGGACATATATAGATTACTTGTTAACGATTGTCTCTTTTGTCATATCACGTCGCCCAAGCAAGAGGTTTGCAAACATGAACGGCTTCTTCACACACAAGCAATACAAAGCTGCGACTTTCTTATCTCAGATGACGTTCCAATGCAAATGATTGACAGTGCACAAGCTTAAACAACAGAGTTCATCAATTTTTTTGCTCTAGATCCGCTGCCAGTATCCTGAACATCTAGTTACGCTGAATCAACTAGGTAGTAGACATCACTGTTGTGTCAACCAAATTGGATCAAATGCACGTGTAGTTCAGCCACTCTCGGAATGCAATTGCCTTGCACAAATGAATGTTTGCGGTAATGGAGCATTCTCCAGCGCGTAATGCCTGTTCGCGACACCATCACCGATACAATACGTCTCGCTTCTTGTATTTACAGCTTGTTCTTGTAGAAAACAATGTTCCCATTGTCCTCGACAAACTTGCAGTGTGTGTATGCTCTCCAGACCGCCAGTGGAACAGACGTGGTGTCCTTGAGGTAAAACTTGCCCAGTAATGGCTTAATAGCCTTTGTAGCCTCCTCACAATGATAAAACGGCATTTTAGAAAACACGTGGTGGCATACGTGCGTGTCCACAATATGATGCACGACCGAGTCCAAATACGAGCCAAATGAGCGATCGACCGTACACATAGCACCACGTAACCAATTCCATTCACTCTCTCGAAAGTGTGGAATGTATGTGTCCGTATGTTGTAGGAACGTAATGAGTACGAGATAAGCATTCACGATAAAGTACGGTACAATATAAAACTTTAACATCATATAGAACGAAAACGTCTGCACGAGCACAACGAGGATCGAAAGCATGAGTACAAGAGAGACATCACTCAATACAATCATCCAGCGTTCACGATCAGAATAAATAGCCGAGTAGGGATTAAAATGACTACGTGCTTTGCCCCAATACTTGGTCGGTCCAGTCGCATTAAAAAAGAGATAACCAGGCATCCAACCAACAATCAGCATGTATAGAATACGATAGAGCTGATAGCACGGCGAATCTTCAAGTGTTTCATCCCACGTTGTAGAAATAGCTGACCGAGTGGACGGTACAAAGACCTCGTCGTGTTCACAACTGCCTGTATTGGAATGATGTTGACGGTGAGAAATACGCCAACTATGATATGGCACAAGAAGTGCCGAGTGAAGAATGAGACCAATGGTATTATTAATCATCTCACTGGAACAATAGGCCTGATGTCCACATTCATGTGCAATAACCCATAGTCCTGTCAAATAACTGCCCTGAAAGAACCAATAGATTGGCCATAGAATGTACGCAATCAGTCCCAGTTGATCCACATAACTTGCGAGATAGAAAAGTCCTGTACAAATACCAAGATTCGTCATCAAGTAGTAACTTGAAGTCAAGAAGGAGCGTTCAAAACAATGTTTCGGTATAGCAGCACGTAATTCACGTAATGTAAAATGTGGCAAGTCCAATGGTAATGGAGCTGGAGCGCCTTCCACGTGTTGATACCCAGCATTTGCTAGTTGACGATGCTTTGCTTCATTACTTGTTGCTTGTTTTGTTACTGCATCAGCTTCGGGGTCGAGAATTGCCATGGTATACTAAAACCAAGTGTAAAAACTAACCACCACTCCTTCGAGGAGTACGTGAGGAATTTCAAAATGAACGAGATCATTACGGTTCAGAAGGAATGAGGATGGATGAGAATGATTGTCAATGGACGGATTGTTTGTTATCAGTGGTGGAGATAAAAAGCACAGGGAGATTCCTAGTGACTGGTCGACAAACAACGCCGTGTTGACGTCAGATATCAGGTACGATGATGTCATTGAGACGGAGACTCAGATGTTCAATAATTTTTGCCTAATAACACGGAGAATGAGACATGTGATCAATGCTGTTGGACAAATACGAAATTTAGACAAAACAGACCCAAAAATGACAAAAAGATATTCCTAATCATGGTGTTTTTGTCACGTTATGGGTCATATTTTTCTTTTGATATAAATGACAAAGGTTGATACAATGTTGCAGTAATGACCTTGTCCAGTAATGACCTTGTACACTAGGAGCAAGTGATTATCTAGATTGCAGATATGTGCGTGTAAATCTGTAAATAAGTTTATTTCGTAAACGTGAGGTCGTGAATATACAGCTAATGTAAACACTGGTATGGTTGAAATCGCCATCGCAACGTTTGTACGATCTTTAAGGATCGTGGTGGCAGATTCGTACACTGACCCAATGACGTCAACAACTATAGTTAATCTTTCTCATGCACTCGTTTCAGCGTTAAAACGGCTTTTATACTGCTATACATACCCTAGTCCTCCTTGTCAAACCGTCCGTTGAACCGAACCGGTCCATGAAACCGTTTATTCGTACATAAGTGAATGCTCACCTCAGCGACCAACCAATGGTCCAGCGGCGTGTCCTTTGACAAACGCGACACTTAGTTCGGTTCTTTAAGTCTTTTGAAAGCAAAACATCATCATGTCGTCTACTGGAATTGCTGTGGGCTTAAACAAGGGGTTTCCTGTTAACAAGAAGCAAGTAGCTCCTCGTCCTGCATCTCGTAAGGGAGTAAGTGCTAAATGCTGTTTTTTTACTGTTGTAACTCTATTAACAAGAGCAGCTAGGTGGTTTTAACGTAAAGCAGCGTGTAGCGAGACGTAGAGGCTGCTACATGCCAATGAACAGACGATACCACGAGAAATAGATGGATACAAAAGCTGTAAGCTAACAATGTATGTTGTTACTGTGATTGGTGTATTGATAATGTACATAGCGCGCGGGCAAGAAAACGAAACTTGTGCGTGAGATTGTCCGTGAGGTGGTTGGTTTGATGCCGTATGAGAAACGTATTCTTGATATGATCAAGAGCGGTGGTTCATCGGCTGAGAAGCGTATCTACAAGTTTTCAAAGAAACGTGTACGTATCCAATGAATCTTTTGGCAGCTTTTGAGCGAAATACTCGAGCCAACGTGCTCTATCTAACAAGCAGTGTAACAAGGATCGTAGTAATAACGACTGTTTGTGATATGATTCTCTCACTTGTATGATGTATATACAGCTTGGTACGCACCGTCGTGCTTTGCAAAAGCGTGAAGAAATGAAGGCGTACTACGCTGCTCTTCGTGCTAAAGCTGCTCACCATGCTTAGGACCGTAAAACCTCCCACAGTTCCAAGATTGCGGAGAGAAGGAGACCGACTTGTCAGTTTAGTGAATGGGGGCGTGAGCATGTGAAACAAAACAATCTCTCGCGACGGTGGTATGATATCCATTCGTCGTGATTGCTAAACAAATTTGCAATGGTGCACTGGGTTTACTGGTCTTTTTTTCTGTTCTTTCGGAGCTGCTTTCTCTCGGTCGTTTCATTATAGTTGAAAATAAAGGATCACCACTCACTGACTGCATGAAGTTTCCTAGCGCGTTGTTGTGCGTCTTACGGTTATAATTTGAGTTTGTATGTATCCATAGTTTGGCGAGGTAAAATCAAATGTCGTTTGATTGTAAACCTTCTATCAAACTATCTTCCACTTCAACTTGGATCTACGACTCTTGAACGCTATACTGAAACAATGTATTGGACAGTCAGATGGAAGGAATGAGCCAACAACAACATCATCATCATCATCATACAAAGTTGTATAGTAAAGAGACGCGAGAAAGTCGATCCAGTAGTCGTTTCATTCAAATGGATCCGTGCTTGTTACTATTTGTCACGCAAGAAAAGTGAGTAATAGACAGATAATCGTAATGATAAGAATAATAATACAGTTGCAAGCACAAAAAATAGAAGTCACTTGGTGACTAAATGGCAAAAGCATGCGACGGTTCTGGCTGCGACCGTTCTGACTGCGACGGTTCTGACTGAACTTGGTCGTGAGCCGTTATCTAGCGGCGTTAAGCGTGTCTGTATGTCTGTGTTTCTTTTCGATTTCATCTCCATTTGTGTCTTGCCCCCTACCACTACGCACGGGCTTTTTTACTCTTTTTATAGAAATAGGCAGTAAGCAGAACGAGTCTGTCGCCGCGCCTTGCGCCGAGGAGGGAGGAGGGGGAGTGGAATTTAACAACAACGCGAGCCCTGCCTCCCATCATCACGATAGTAAAACGAGTCGGAAACAAGACCGAGACAACGGTATCTCGACAACTTGAGCGTCCCACGTGTTGCTTCATCACAGTTGAGCAAGAGTGGACGACACCACCACGGAGACACGAACTTGGACCAACGAGCTGGATCAGCAACCAAGAACACCGAGCTATCTCTTGGAGTTCGGCTGTGGGAATTGAAACCAAGGAGCATAAGCGTCGAGTACTGCTCCACTCGATGGCAGCACTTGCTCGACGAAGTAGTCTGGCAAACAAGACGAAGCTCAAGAGCACTTCAAGTGCACAATCCACAGCAGCATTGTTGACTGGCAAGTCAGGCGATGTCGCTCTGGTTTCGACCAACTCGTCGATTGTATCGCTGCTGGATTCTACGCAGCATGATGATGCATCTGCATTGCGTAAAGAGCCACCAGCAGGACCTTGCATCCTTCCTACAGCTCGTGAACCCCCCATGGCTCCACTGCGCATGTCATTGCTGAGAATATCGCAATCTTCTCCGCGGCTTGTGGGCACCTCGGCGCTTGAAAGAAAAGCTCCAGATGTAACAGCTGCCGAGAACATCATTGAAGTGACAGATGATGGCGATTGCAGCAAAGATAGCAGCTATTTGTCCAAGCGCCCAATCAACAGCACTCGTGTGCCGCCTAAACGCGCCGCAAGTCTCTTAGTGACTTCAACGAACCATACGAGCGATGAGTCCATCGTGTACGCTGTCGCACTACTCCGCAAACTTCAGCAGCATGCTTATGCAAATGAAAGCGGCGAGGCTGCGGTGCAACGCGAGGAACTTGATAAGATTCTTCACGGTTTTTCTCGCGCACTCAAAGGTGTGACCTCAATTTGGGACGAACGGAGTGTTGAAAACACGGTGCAAAAGCTCTTTGACGCACACTCGAACGTGTTTGACGAAAGCATGCAGAATTACATCATTCAGAACTTTCTCAATGAATCGGGGAGCGCGAAAACATTCCGCACAGCATTGCGAAGGACAAGTGTGCTACGCCGCTGTTTACTAGCCATGTATCAGCCCGAGCAAAGCAATGGCGTAAAGCGCAGCAATGGTACGGGTAACGCAAAAGGAGCCGCTACCCGCCGCTGGAGCGAAGCAGTGGCACGAATCTTGAAGCAGAAGGAAAACGAACGCCACCAGTTTTCGATCGAAGTATGTCCAGAAATTACGAATCCATCAATACTGCTTGCCGTTAAGGATGAGATTGCCAACATTGACTCCTGGAACTTTGATGTCTTTGCGGTACGTCCTATTGTGCCCTTGCTGTCCATAGTGACGTACTTTGATGCTAAATGTGCTAATCAACTTTTGACTAGATTGCGGCAGCTGTTCCAGGTCAAACATTGTGTATCGTCGGTAATGCACTATTGGAGCAGTACGAAATATGTCGTCACTTTCGGACAACGAAAGCGCACGTTCAGTCGTTATTGAGGCAGTAAGTATTCCAAATCATTGTTCTTGCTCGTGTCACCGATTGCTCACTTTGTCTTTTCTGGCAAAACCTTAGTGTCCAACGTAGATATCATGATCACCCTTATCACAACGGTAATGTCGTTAAAGCTCTATTCTGCGCATGAGGATGCTGAGGGCTTTGTGCTGACAAACATGCGTTTTTTGTTTTTGTGTTCCCATACAGCCGAGCATGCAGCAGACGTTACACAAACGCTGCACCACTTTTTATCTGTTGGAAACCTGGGCAGCTTATTTAGTGAACGTACAAAGTGTGCGGCACTTTTAGCCGCGATTATCCATGATGTCGTAAGCGACGCATCTTGCAACCACTCACTGGCTTTTTTCCATTCCTTGACATTTTCGTGTATATTTTCCATAATTGCCATTTCCAGGGCCATACAAGTTACAGCAACAATTTCCATATTACTGTCAACGACGAATTAGCCATTCAACACGTGTACCGCTCTCCGCTTGAGCACATGCACTGTGCATTGGCTTTTCAATTAATGAAGGATCCCCAATGCAACATTCTCCAGGGTTTAACAAGAATTGAGCAACAAGAGGTACATCAAGCTCTTTTTCACTTGGACTCCATCGTGCAAGACAAATTCCAGCCGAATGACTAACCATTGTGTGATGAACTTTGCTTATAGGTCCGTACTTTGATTACTGACATGGTCTTAGCAACCGATAACAGTGTGCATTCCACGTACTTGGGTAAGCTCGATAACCTCGTGAGAAGGTACGTTTGCATCCATTGACTTGCTATACTACGTGTCAAGTGACGCTTGACAGTAGTTTTTGTCTTGTATACATGTGTATAATTGGCCACAGATCGAGTGAAGAAGGTTGGAAACATGGAAACCGAGAGGACGAGCGATTGGTGCTGCAGATGGCATTGCACACCGCAGACGTGTCGAATCCGACCAAGTCGCTTCGCATTTATCTCGCATGGGCCGAGCGTATTAAGCAGGAATTTTATCAACAAGGTGACAAGGAACGTGAACTGCTTCTTCCCGTGAGCATTGGCTACGACCGTGAACAGCCTATTCCACTTGAAAAAATGCAAGCAGGTTTCATCATTGGCATTGTTCGACCGCTCTTCCTGTCACTGAGTCTTCTGCCTAGTGCACGATTAGGTCATTGTATGGCACAGTTGGATGCAAATTTATCTCATTGGCAGGATGAGATGAGTCGCAATCAGGATTTCGTCGTCAAGTCTCCACTCTCTCCGATTGAAGGAATTTATTGATGCTGAGATTTTCCATTGTTGTTAACAACAATAGCACGCAGCACTATAATAGCAAGTAGCCACCATAGGTAGGAGGGCGAAGTTAATAAGAAAAGCTATTGATGATAAATTACTTCCGTCAGGGTGGGTGTTGTTTTTTAGCCAATCATACGGTATATCCCACGACTTTCATTCCCGACCGCTCGTTTCATTCCCTATCTATATATTACGAAATCCTATGAATAGTAGTACTACGACTATTACTATAACTACTACTACTATTACTACTATTACTACTATTATTCATACAAAGTAGCACATTGTTCACAGTCTAAAGAGATACGAAAACATGTTGAGTCTTGTAAAGAAAGTCGTGAGTGCTTCTGGTCGTCGTACGCCAGCGCAATCACGTTTCATGAGCCATGGTCCAGCTCCTCCTGAAGGAAGTCTTGAGGCAAAGGTTCGCCATTATTTGCCAAAAGATTACCATGTACGTTTGTTTGTTTTCTAACAACAATTTACTATTGTTTTATTGAGCGGCAAATGGAAAAAATTTGATCTTTTTGTACCAATTTCAATGTATTGAGTAGATTGTTTTAGCGACATTGGGCGCGTATACAACACTCATTATGTTGTTTAAGCTGAAGCCTTCGAAGAAGAAGAAGGAGGAGACGGAGACGGAGGGTGTTTCAGGTATCTACAGCTGATTGATTGATTGGTTGATTGATTGGATGAATGTCGACTAGTAGTATTCATTCCACTAACATCTTGATGTGTGTGTGTATGTGTCTTGTGTATATAGCATCGAGCTTGAACAATTCCATGTCAACGTCCATTCCATCGTTGTTTGATGATGACTTTGAAGAGTGGTCTAAGGTACCAGGCAACATGGACAAGTGGGAGAAGAGTTTAGAGACTCTTGGCAATTAATCCTGTTGCTTGAATGATGCAAGTGACAGTTTGGATGGAAGATATGTTGCTTACTGCTTGATTCGAGATTTATAATCTCGCTCATTCTCTTTGATCGAGAGCAAGCAAAGTGATCGTGATAAGAAAGAAAAGGCCCTGGTTGAAACAGCTTTTGCAATGTGAATGTCTGTTGCTGTGTTTGTATCTCATGTATGTCGTTGTCGTATGCTCAGCAATATCATCAAATGACGTAGCAACGTCTCTGTAAACAATAATGATTAAGCTTTATGTCCTCCAGGTTTTTCCACCACACTTCAATGAAACGAGGCTGACGGTAGAGAACGAACTACTTCAAAGTGCTAGGTGAGAATGAGAAACCCTTAGCACACCACATTCAACAACACTCCTTCTGGTTTTAGGACAATCAGTCCCCAATCGAGCCAAACTCCGGCGAGCCGTCACCGCGCAGCCGCTCGCACAGCATCGGTTCGTAGTGATCCCCGCCACGATCGCTGCCGGTTAGTCGCATCAGTAAAAACCATGGTGCATGGCCCTTCGAGTGGCAAATCGTGCTCTGTTCCAAACCGACCTCGCCACGGGGTCGATGGGGCAGGAAAAACATCTTCCCGCATCCTACAAGAACGACGAAGATGTCACGTTGATACGCTGTGGCCAGTGCCTCCAGCACAAAATCATCACCCCATGCTACACGTGAGTTATCAGGATCATCATCGACCGAAATGAGCCCGCGGCTACTATAGTTCAGGCCAATAAGAAAATGAGTGTTTTCACCTCGGCCAACCGTCATATAATCACAGTACGACTGCGCGTCCAAAACTGGCTGTGCGTACTCTGTGTAAACAGCTTCCGCAGCAATTCCCCAGGAGTAGCCCTGTTTCTGAAGTTCAGCACATTTGTCCAGCAGCATCTTCTTATCACTTCGACGTGCTACAAATCGACGCGTCTGCACCGAGCTCACTCCCCACCCACCCTTTAGCGTCGGATAGTACAAGTTCTGGATAGCCTTATCAATCTTCTGTTTCTCCTCCGGTGTACTAGAATTATAGTGAGCAAGAAAGAATTTGGTAGCCACTTTACGAATCCCTTCCGGTGACAGAGGCTCACATTCCTCCGTGTACAATAGAATTTGTTCCATCGATAAGAAGAGACAGTCACCAAAAGGCAGCACGGGCGCTAGGTACTTGACACTGTAGGTCGTATCATGCGGTTCGTACGATACGCCTTCCTCCTCCAACACACGCAATAGGTCACGGCTACTTGAATCAATATTGGACACACGTTGCCACCCCATACAAACCGTCACTGGACGGTCAACTACGACTGGTCTTGCTGTCATCACGAATCGCTCTGGTTTCGATCGTCTAGGTGTTAGCAGCACCTGTTTTGGTCGAGCCTAGTGCAACATCACAACAACAACAACAAACACAACCACAGACAAATGCTTGTATCAGTTTTTGGTTCTCAGTACACTGACGATTACTATATACTTGACATTCTCCTTACCATTTGTTGGTATTGTGAGTACGCCAATAAACGTGAATCCAATGCATGTTGTGCATCCATAATAGCTTCACTGTAGCCCTCATGAATCATAATGTGAGTCGAAGCGTCTAGTGCCGGTAGAAACGGTATGTCCACTGGTAATTGATCCATTTCCACTGATTCATACAATTGAACGTCTTCTTCTTCTTCTCTTTTATCCAGCTCAAACTCACCGTCCGAATCATCATCCAACGTCGCAATCTCACTCGTAAGTGACGTTGTATTTGATGTCACGCCGGTAGGAGACATTCCTAGCTCCTGTGAAGTTACACAACACACACTCGAGTCTTCATTCAACTTCTGAGTCACTACAAAAACGTATTCTTTCTCCTCCTGCATTTTCTTTACTTTACTATGAGTTTTTGACTCTGGTTTTCTTCCTAAGTGACGATTGATACAAAGTCTTATACGAAAATGCCAATTTTTATGTCAGCGTGGAAGCGGGTAGGGGAGGAGGGAAATAAAAAGGATAATGTCGACAGTACTTACTATAAACAAGAGAAACAGTGTAATAGCCCTACTCCCTTGCAAAACTTTCTGTCGCCGACACAATTTGCTGCGGTCGTTGTTTTATTTGAGCAATTATAGTCCAAATGGTGACTAGTTTTTCGTTTCGCTAGTAACTTGTATCAAATTCAATTTTTTGACGTAAAGGACGTTGTTGTTTTTCGCAGACCATTTTAGAATCTAGGAGCTAAAAATACGGACTGAGCTAATTTAGAAACGTAAGATATAGCCGAAATTTTCTTAACAAACTTGTGTATAATAAAATAAATTAATTAGAGCTAACTCAGAGTGTAAATAAGTCAAAACAGATAATTACATGGAGGTATTAATGTTGATAAAGGTGATGTTTATGAGGCTGAGCTCTGCTGAAGGCTCGTATGCGTGTAAGAGAGTGGCTGTCAGTTCTGTACGGTTGCGTATAATTGTGAGCTTGTCTTACCATACATTGAAAAGGTAGTGACATAGAAAGGAGCTGGTAAACAGTGAGATAGGTGGTAAATGGCACGATAGGTGGTAAACACTTCGATAGCTGGTTAGCAGTAACGGTAGCTTAGCAAGCACAGAGAGGCAACATTGCCAACAGAATCAATTCTCATCCAACTAGCTCTTTCAACAGGTTATGATCCCAATGGCTGGACAAAACGACACGAATGTCGCACCGGCATCAGCAAGTCACGCAATTCCCTCGTCGGGACGTGCTGCGTCGCCATCGCGTATGGCAGCGCCACCGCGAGCTGCAGCTGTTGCTGGAGACCCTCTAGCTCATGAAATTAGCTCGGCAACCGAAGATAATATTCTTGCCGCTCTTTCGAATCGCATAGAGAAGATGGAGTCTCCTAGATGAATGCTGACGAGGATGAGCGCATGTACAGCGCAATACAGAGTGACATCTTTGCATCAGCGCTTGGTGCAAGCATGGGTGCTAAGAAGACGACAATCGATGCGTTGAGGGGCTATCCAGATAAAAACCATCAGCTCGTCAAGTGGGAGCGCCAAGTAAAGGCCAGGTGGTGAACACCTCTGAGCTATCAAGGAAAAGGCCAGGGTTGAGGATCTTCCCCAAAGAATTTGGTTATAAGCCCACCCTCGACCTAGTCGACCCAGTGGCCACCTACGAGCCTAACAAGTAAAGCATGTCCACTCGAGGCACCCCAAGGTTGACCTCTTTCAAGGCCGACTCGCATCTCCACTAAGTCTTCTGAAGAGTGCGATCCGCCAGCCGACGGGTACATAAGGTAGAGAAGGTCCATATGCGTCATCAAGGTACCCCCTCCGACAGTCGGCAATTCGGCACAGTGATTGGCTTGGGGTCTCATTACGCAGTTTTGAGAGCCCACTCCACCACAATACTTAACATGGCGCAAAGTATGGTCTTTGCAAGTCGACTGCCGCTAAAGCTGTGGGAAGATGCTGTTGAGTATGCGGCATTCATCCTCAACAGGAGTCCGACATGGTGATTAAAGAACGTGCCTCTACAATTGAGATTCTGACAAATTATACACCTGATCTTCGGGACATAGTCATCTTTGGAAGCATCTGCTCTGTGTCCAGAGACCCGCGCACGGGCTCGCTAAAGCAGCGATCTGCGATCGGGGTCATCATCGGGGTCAGTGACAAAACAAAAGGGTATTGTGTTTTTCTGCAGAAGAAAAACTAGTTTGTTACAACACAGCATGTAACGGATATCAAGACACTGACTGAAGATCTGAATATCTAGCTGTAGAATTTTTTGGCGATTGAAGACCAAGCGGCGCCCCCAGTGACGTCAAGTGAAACCGTTGCAAAGAAAATCGTCGAAGATAAGCGAAAGGCAAAAAAAACATGGACGAGAGATGCACATTGCACGCGTTCAAGGTCAAGACGCGCAGAAGAAGTCGTATTTCAGGAGGAACAGATGCAAGATTCAAGTGTTGTGAGTCACGTTTTGAACGTGATCCAAAGATCTACGCTGATGCAGTGCGCAGTGCCAATTGTGCAAGTTGGAAGGACGCGATGTGGTAAGAATTAAAGGCGTTTGAGGCTAACAGCGTATGGAGTCTGATTAAGTGTTCAGAACTAGTCAGTGCTCTGCACACAAAGTAGATTCTCAAGACCAAGACGGACGCAAGCGGTGACATAGATCGGCTTAAGGCACAACTAGTCGCGTGTGGACACGAGCAGGTACTGGGAGTGTACTACGCTCTGACTTTTGCGGCTGTTATGGACATGTCGATAGTGGTGTGCGTCGCTAGATTAACTTGGTTCCAGGAATTAAATACTGCTTGGCGCGGCAGTGGCCGCTGCCACGAGAACAATGTGACGTCCTTGACAGGTTCTTTGTCCAAAGCACGCGGCTGGTTGGGTGCGTGAGAGTAAGCCTCCTCACTCAGCGCGCAAACTTGTGCTCGAAAGTCAAAATAGGAAGCGGCGAATAGTGCGTGCGTATCATAGTCAAAATGCAGCTACCATCCGGCTCAAACACCGTTTGCTCGCAAGGATGTTCTTCCGAACAATATGGTGGGATGTACAATATTCAGTGCCCTCAACATAGTCAATAAGTCTTACCAACTGCTGATACGACTCGTAACTTCTCACTTACAGACGAGCGATCCGTGTCCGTGTCAACAGTTTATTCACATGGGAATCGTATTGACTCTATTTTTACTGCTTCACAAATACCCAGAACGTTAGTTTCTCATTCTCACCATGTTGTTTCCTTTTCTGACACATTTTGATTCAATTTAGTCCGACCACGAGCTCATATTTATTCGTCTCGTAAGCTCACGAGTGACGACTTTGTTTTGACTTGAACGAGTTCCTTACTACTACTACTGGCAATGGGAAACGCTGGAGTTAAGGACAAAAGTAGCAGGAAGGATGAAATTCCATTGAACGAGACTGACGGTAAGTGAATGAGAGAGAGAGAAATGTTGTCAATGATTGCTATGAAATGGTTGTATTCTGATAAAAAAAATGAGATGTAGACGAGGCCTTTGCTCAAGCTTTGAGGGTTAATTTACAGCGTTTGGTCGCATACGCGTGCTCGGCGGAAACGTCGATACAACGAGAAATTGCTGAGAAATTGGCAAATGAAGCTGTAAAGCGTACGTGATCAATGGGTTGGACTGTCGTTAAATTCATGTTTTTTGTGCATTTGTGTATTGATGCAATCCGTTTGTTTCTTCGATTCTGTAGCCGATCGACAGGTGCAGATTGTGGAGTTGGATGGATTGAAGCTGTTACTTCCATTGACCAAGTCAAAGGACACAGAAGTGCAGCGTCTAGCAGCGCATGCTCTTGCCAACCTTTCTGTGAATTGTACAACGAGCTTGTTGGTTTTTGGAGTCGAGTGCAGTGGATTGATGAAATGGTTCTTGATGTTGCGTTTTATCTACGTTTTACAGCTGAGAATCAGTCGAAAATGGCGACGGAAGGAGGCATTGACATGCTTATTGACCTCTTGGGTAGCTCGAACGAGCACGTGCAGCGTCAGGCTGCAAAGGCGCTTGCCAATCTCGGTGTCAATGGTTTGAGAAGCTCTCATGTGTGATTGATGTTCAGGTCAGCATTTTGTTTGATGGCGTTATGTGTGTTTTGTGTGATCATTGGTAGTGGATAACAAGGAACGAATCGCTAAGGCGGGAGGCATCAAGCCACTTATCGATTTGGCTAGCTCCTGCCAGATTGGAGTTGCTGTCGAGGCTATTGCAGCACTTGCAAATCTAGCTGTCAATGGTAATGATCTTACAAAGCTTCTTCAGCGTCTAATGCATGTGTTTTTTACACTACTTCTTGATGTGCGGTACTGCTTTGTGTGAACACCAGACGCCAATGAGGTAGAGATTGCACGTAAAGGAGGTTTGAAGCCTATTATTGATGGAGCGCATTTGGAGTCTGTTGAGCTTCAGTCCCAAGTGGCACGTGCACTTCGCAACCTGTCTGTCAACCGTACGTTGGTAAATATGTTGGTTCGCTACTCCGTATTTCTGCATTGATTGATCGTGGGTGATATTGTGATTGCAGCTGAAAACAAACAAGCGATTGTGGATTTAGGTGGGGTAGAGGCTCTGCAGTTACTCGTTCGTTCTCCTAACGACCGGATATGCCAGCAAGCTACGCGTGCACTCGTTAATCTGGGCGTCAACGTTGTCTGCTAAGTGCTGCTAGAGAAAGACATCCGGGGCAAACTTGCACAAATGGAGTAGCCACAGCATACGTAGAGCGCGTGACTCAGACCTTTCTTCTTCCAGGATTGATATATTTTTGTCTTAGACAAGCTTCTTTTCTCTTTATCGTTCAAACCCCACTTGTCTTGTACGAGAAACATTGGGTATGTCTTTCAGTCATGGCAAAGCGTAGCGTGCATTGCTCACGCTCCTTGTCGTCTTTTGGCACGTTCTTCTGTCCTCTTGTTCGCAAGCCACGACCCAGCGCCTGGAGCACCAGCAGCCGGTGCCTGCGGCATCATCGTGCGACGTTGCATTTCTGTTCCAATCTGTGCACGAAGGCGTTGTTAGTACTGAACGATAACAACAGTCCCGATATTACGAGCAGATTCTACCTCGTAAAATGAAGACATCATGAGCGCCTGCTCACGCGAGTACGAAGCGCGGACCTCCTTCATCTTTTTCTCGAGGAAATCCACTCGCTCCTGCTTCTCGTTGATCTGGTTTCGATGTGAACTTACTGCCACCATATACTTTGTCTGCACAGCATGAAGTGTTTTTTTCGTGTAATTTTCCAGCTTCGCGCGCTGCTCCGATAGCTCGTTAATCACTGACTCCTTTTCTTTCAGACGCTTTGTCAACTCTGTCACCGTTGCGCGTAATGAATCGACCGCTTCTGCCTCAATCTCCTGGTGTATGAGTGCATCAATGACAACGAACAGGCATATGCGTGAGTAGAGAAACCTCAACACGAATTTGCAAAGCTCTAGACGTACCAGCTTTTCCAGCTTATCCTGATATTCGGCGATTTGAGCTGACGAAAGCGCATTGTTGCTGCTGGTCACCACGACAGAACCTGGAGTAAGTACAGGCACTTGCATGGCTCCACCTGATCCCATAGCAACGCCTGCTTCTTGCATGGCTGCTGTCGTATATCCGACAGCTCCTGCCGCTGTTGCTGCCTCGCAGACTACCATATCATTTGACACCTGCATCGGCTCTGAGCCATCCGGCGCACTTTGCTGTTGAGGACGTGCTTGAGTCGGAGCCTGTTGAATCTGTGCCAGCATTTGCTGTTGCTGTTCGTTTTGGATTCGTGCGTTGCGCAGGTCTTCTGACAGTTGGTCATTCTGTTTCTGCATCTGAAAAAGAGATACCTGGAGTGACTCCTTTGCTTTGAGTGCCATGTCCAAATCATTTGCCAGCTCTGCCTGTCCTGCATCAGCATTGCCACCCTTCAGCTCAGCATTTTCGCGCTCGAGGCGAGCCACACGCTCTCTCAATCCACTAACAGAATCGCGACCAAGCAGCATGTCAGCACTCAAACCTCCTCCGTTGATCCCGCTACTCTCGCCAGCATTCATTGCGTCATCGTCGCCTTCCTGGTACTGGATGCTTGCAAGTTGTGTGCGGAGCTCCTCAACTTGCGAATCAAGAAACTCCTTCCCACCTAGCGCGCTGTCAAGCTCTTCTTGGAGTCTACGGATCTTCTGTTCCTTAACATTGAGATTAGAGCTTGCTTGGACGTTGGCTGTCTCGAGTTCTACAACCTGATTTTTGTACTTTTCAACCAGACTCTTAAGTCCGGGCATAGTCTTAATCGTGCTTTCTAAGTCGACGACCTTATCCAAGTACTGAGCGTTAAGGGTCTCTAGTTCGCGGACCTGACTACGCAGCAAGTTCATCTCCTCCAGCTTCTTCTTGTATTTGCTCACGCTAGCTTCCAGTTTATTCAGCGTTCCAAGTTTGGAGCGTGAAATGTCAAGCTCGTCAGCTTGGCGACGGACTTCGTTTTCCAGCATCATCAGGCGTTCTCCGGACTCACGCTTGACACGGTTCAATTCTAGGTCCTTTTCCTCCAACTGCATTTGAAGAGCGTGAACTTCATTGTCCACAATTTGTTGGATCTTCTTGTTATCACGAGTGAGCGTGTTCTGGCGTTCGCTGCGCAACTGGTCACGTTCAGTTTCAAGTGCCGTATATTTTTCGGCAAGTTCTCTGTTCTCCGTCAGTGTACATTCAAAACGCTCTGTTAGTTCACGCTTCTCGCGCTCCATATCTAAATACCTGAGCTCTAATGAAGAGCTCCGCTCCAGCGCCTGAGCAAGTTGTGTAGCCAGCGCTTCGGCAGACGTGTCCGCTGGTAGCGCAGAGACCGACGACGACGACGATGGCGGCGGTATCATCTCGTCAAAAGATGCTCCGTGGGCCATTGAGCTACGGCGACTCAGATTTGAACCTCCGCCAGGAGACGTTGCCTGGAAACGATGCATTAGATTTTCAATTGCGTGCATTAAGCTCGCCTGTTCCGACGCATCCATTTGCATGATAGAGTGAATGTACTCGGATTTGTTTGGAGATTGGACTGCACAACCTAGTAGCAATTCGGTGAGCTTGGCCACCTCGTGTACATTGTTTTCTTTAGCAATCAGCAGTGGATCAACGATCTCCTCAGCATGACAGATCTGGCCTAATTCGTCCGTATAAAAGAGCTCTACTGCACGCAAGAGCGTTTTGAGATTATTGGATTTCAGTGCCCAATTGCCACTTGACTGATCATGAAGTTGTTCTAGATTCATGTATTCGGCATCACTAGATACAAACAATTGTCACAAAAAGAAGAAGAAGAAGAACCGATAAAGGATCAAGAGAGACCGTGATGAACGTACATGTGATGCATAATCTTGGACAAGAAAACACCGTCACATAAATCTTTTAAACTTGTAATTTGTATATCCGTAGCGAGTTTGGTATAAAAACTTTGGACCTATATTGATAATACATAGAAAAAACAAATCAAAATTGAATTCTGCTGTCGTCTGTATGATATATCTATATACTATATATATTTCTATCTATTATATATATACACACACTCCTTCTTCTAAACCCCTTTTCCCTTCTTTCTTTAGAAATAGAGAATGGAAAATGTGACATGAAGAAGAGTCCCACGATGTTTGAGAGTTTCATTTAGAAATAGAGAAATATACACCTACCCATAATAAAAGACTTCGTTGTGTCATGTCGTTCATGATTATTGTCTGTATCTTTTTGCTTACACAATTAGGAAAGGATCTGGTTGAGATGATTATGTACACCACATGGCATGACTTCACTTATGTACGATTCAATAGTTGACACACAAACTGAAGCCATGTCGACATGCTTCATGTCGCACATTTTTTGTCTATATATGTATAAAACCTCATGGTTAGAAATAGTAAAGCAAGTTGTTGATGAATATAGAAACGATATAAATAAATAAGGCCATAAACAAGCGGTTTTGCACCATGCAGCAAATGCAAATGAGAATTCAGTTAGAAACGTGCTTTTACATCGTGTCTCGAAACAGACTGTGACATGGTATGGCATGACCTAAACGCTGCATGTTGTCAATCATTGACTTCTTGTCAATGCATGGCGTATTCTGCTCATCGCTGGTTATCGTTCGGTCGCCTCAATCTGTCCTTTCATCACTAAAAGTGTATCCCTAGAAGTTGTGCTCATTAGTTGTATACGTCCAGGCAATTCAATCGTCTTTTAATTCGCATAATGCAGCCAAGATCATCAAGGTCTTGTTTGATTCCACATTGACGACTATACATACATACGTAAACAATCTTATCACATGTTTCGAAAAAACGTGGTCCACATTATGTATTGTATCTCATCATTCAAAAAAACACCGTGTTTTTGGTGTTTTTTTGGTTTCTTTGATTCAACAACCTTCGTCCCACATCACCCTTCAGTCAAGAAAGCTCATGTTTCCACGCAGCCACCAGCTCCTGCGCACATTGGCGCGTCACAGTGTCGCTTCTATCTCCTCTTCCGCTGCTCGTTCTTTGCATGCACATACTACAATAGCAAGTGCATCTACTCGTGTAAAAGATTACACCAAGTCGCCGTTCTTGGCTCGTCACGGCGCCTTTCGCTCGATGTTCATCCAGACGGAGCCGACGCCCAATCCACAAAGCGTCAAATTCCTTCCTGGTCGCGTGATATTGGACGAACGGTTTACAACGGGCGTCGTGCGTTATAATACGCCGCTTGTTTGAATGCTAGTAGATACAGTTTTTTTGTCTGAGCGTTTTTTTCTGTCTCTTGTTGTTGTTGTAGGACTTTACGCCTCAATCTAAAGAAATTCGTCGGTCGACGTTGGCCAAGAAATTGTTTCAGATTGAAGGAATTACGCGCGTATTTTTTGGCAAGGACTTTATTTCTGTCACGAAATCGGAGACTGAAGACTGGGATGTACGTAGCTGCGGTATCTAGTGCAGTAGACGCATGTCAAAAGCGACAAGATTAAGTCGAGATCCCTTTTTTTTGCTGCCATAGGCTTTAAATGCAGAGATTTTTGCAACCATGATGGACTTTTTTGCATCCGGTGAGGACGTCATGTCGGACGAGCCGATCATTACGGTGAGATAAGAGTTGAACATATATTGGGCTGATGTTGACCAAGTTGTAACACTTGGTGGGGATGGATGACCTCTGCGCTGTATTTCAGGACACGACGATCTTGCCTGATGACGACGAAGTGGTAGCCATGATCAAGGAGTTGCTAGAGCAGCGCATTCGGCCTTCAGTGCAGGATGATGGCGGTGACATTATCTACAAGGGCTTTGACGAAAAGACAGGGATGGTGATCGTCCAGCTTGCAGGCTCATGTGCAGGCTGCCCGAGTTCCTCTGTCACGCTCAAAAATGGCGTGGAAAACATGCTGAAGCACTACATTCCGGAAGTGCGCGGTATTGAAGAGTGGGTTGACGAAAAGTTGAATGCAGTGAGTGACAAGGAGTTTCGTTCGCTCGAAGAGAAATTGCGCTCCGTTGGTATCCCTAGCGAGTAAAAAACTGGGCAAGCACGCGATTGCAAGCTGGAAGACAGGGGCTCTGGTCACACAGGGGCAACTTGTTAGCTAGCGCCTGTATTGCAAGGGTTTTAATTTGTGTGCAGGTTAGCGGCAAGAAAGTATATATAATGAGAAGGAGCCGATTCACTAGCAATAGCAAAAGAAAAATGATTAAAGCTGTGGACAAGACTATATTTAGGATGCTTGCTTCGTGCTTCTATGTGATGAACAGAATTGACGATGCAGCATTAATGTTCTCATCAGATCGATGCCATTACGTGCGTGAGTCCTATAGGTGTTGTTGATCTCTTCTATGATAAAAGCAAAAAGTTTGCAATTGCAGCAAGTGTCGATGTCCTTGTCCTACGTAACATTTTCCTGGAAGCCAAGGAGACCCCTTCGCATGAGGGATCGGCGGAGAAATCCAATTTGAAAAGCTGTTGGACTCCGCTGTTTCACGACTATTTTTGTCTTGGCATCTGGTGCTTTTTGGGTTTGGTTGTTTTGAGAACTGTGCGATGATGGAGAAAACCTCGAACAACTTCCCAAAGAACATTTGCCAGTGAGAAACACAATAGCTTCTTATCTTTACGTACCAGAGTAAAACAAGAGGTTGCGTCCGACAAGTGACAACAACGAGATACTTGTGGTGACCTTTTCTCAATTCTGCAAGTAGTTTTCAGTATTTGTGTGCATCCATTCCATCCTGACTCTCAATTCTGCTCGTTTGAATTTTGCAATGCATCCACGCTCTAGACTTGGCAGGTATGTTTTGCTCAACGTTATTCCATGCTGGTGATATGGTGACAACTCACAGTTTAATCTTTTGTGAAATCGCTTTGTAGGCCATCTCCCAAGAGGAGTTTGTCATGTGCGGGCCTAGATGGTCTTGATGAGCTAATTCATACTTCCGACAACGCACGCCCTTCTCGGAATCGCAAACGTCGTCAAAGTCTTAGCTACTTCTCTGCAGCTAATAGTGCAACGCCAATTTCACCTTCTCGAGACGACTCCACCGTAGCGCAGGCATCCTGTCCTGGTGTGCATCCCCGGCCTTCAATGAAAGTATGTGCCTTGATCTTTGTCACTCTTAGCTCCGACGAGAATAGTGTGACTTACGCTTCCTTGTCCGATGTATTGTTTTACAGAGTCTAGCGCAGATGACAAACTTCAAAAGGCTCCGTCTTCTTCATTTGAAGATAGGTGTCCACAAGCATCTTCCGACCATATTCAGGCAATTGATTCTCGTTCCGATATCCATGATAACAATTGTGAAGAGGATGACAGCGATGGTGCGAACGAAGAGTATAATGATGAGGACGCCAGTTACAATAGAAATCACGACTATTCGAGCAGTGGCCACGTTTCCGTGTCCAATTTGGCGTTTGTGGAGCCCCAGGATATGTTTGAGAACAGGCTTAAGCTAAACCATGATGCGCTTACTGCAAAGTGTCTAGACCATAACGTGTTCTTTCCGCCATCGCATCGCTCGTTGAGCAGCGAGTGCTCTCCACGAGAAGAATTTCTTATCCAGGCCTTTGGTTCCAGTGGCTTTAAGCTGCATGGCGCCTCTGTATCAAATAACGATGATTCAGACGAGAGTCTCAGTGATGATAGCAGTAACAATGGCAGGGAACAGATATCATCTAGTCAAGAAGGAGCGATTGCAGATGCTGACACGGAGCTCAAGATGTCTTTTAACGAACTTGAGGCTGACATCCGTGGCGCGATGCATCAAAATTCTTACCACCAGCAACATTCGACAAGGCTTCCGGAACTCACGAGTTTGTCTCATCAGTCATTTGCACCGCCATCGCACGGTTCTTTTGGGCTAAGCCGTAGTCCTAGCTTTCTTCGAAACACCCAGGATATCCAGCGTGTATCATTGTTCACCCCGCCACAGACCGCTCGTCCTCATCTTTTGCCAAGCCAAGAAGAATCCGATTGTTCTCGAAGAGAACAGTATCACCAAAGCCCTGTGTGTGCATCATCATTGGAAAATACACCTCAAAGCAAGGGAAGTGCTGGGATTCACACATCAACAAAATGGCTTCGTGATGAAGATGAGCGTCTTCGTGAAGCAGTGGCTCGTTTTGGTGGTAAAAATTGGAAAATGATCGCTGAAACGTTAGGAAATGGCCGTACGGATGTTCAGTGCCTTCACCGTTGGAACAAGGTACTTAAACCCGGTTTGATCAAAGGACCGTGGACACCAGAAGAGGATCGTATCCTCACAAGTCTCATCACTCGCTATGGAGTAGGTAAGATCCGTTGGTGTGACCTTGCTCTGCATTTGCCAGGACGAATCGGCAAGCAGTGTCGTGAGCGGTGGTGCAATCATCTTGATTCCCGTATTCGAAAGGGTCAGTGGACTCCCGAGGAGGACGATATGGTATTTCGTTGGCAGCAGAAGTTGGGTAACAAATGGAGTGAGATTGCGAAACTACTTCCTGGGCGCACCGAAAATGCTGTCAAGAACCGATTCAACTCAGCAGCACGTCGCAAGTGGCTTATGACTCAGGCTAATAAGTCATCATGCAGCCCCTTAACGCAGACCACACCAGCAAGCCAGACTCAGGTTCTGCACGTTCAGCTTCAACAGCAAAATCCATTGCTGCAGTCACCTTCCACGCGTCAAGAGAGTGATATCTACAATGTCAATACAAATCCGTACCGAGGCGCAAATGTGTTACCCCTGCCATCATCTGAGGCATTATTGGAACACCAGACGGACAAGATGATTCCACCACTTGAACGTCAAAACTTCATCCAGCACTATTCGTCTCTAAACGTTCCACCTGCCAGTACATTGCTACCGAGTGGTTTGGATGAAACAAACAGCTTTTGTTCAGTCTTCCCCATGGCGGACGAGCAATGTTTTCAGCAGCAAGGCCAAGACAAAAGTGTAGAGGTCACGAAAGGTGACTTGACGCCATTGACGACACCACCTACTTTCGTACCGCCTCCACTCGACTCTTTCTTCTCTTCCCCGATGAGCATTGGCACTGGTGCTAATGGCAGTTTCCATCATCCAGAAAACGTATCGGGTGGAGGTGAAACTTACATTAGCCCAGTTATTTCATTCCCCGATCATCATCTAGCTCAAGTGCACCACGCCCCGGTCAACGCTATTTTGCTCCCAAAAAACACGCCTGACGAATTTGCTGCTGAAACAAGTATTGGGCTATCACTTTTGCAATTGAAGGAAGAGAAGGCGGAACAGTGTGATTTTGTCCTTCAGGATACTCCTGACGTCCCTGCAGCGAGCAGTGGGACTGATCCAAGTGTTCACATGGACGACGAAAACATGAACAGCTTTCTTGACAGCGTCGCCCTTGAACTTGACGACATCATAGAGTGACTGATTGCTAGTTGTTCCTCTTCTTCTTTCTCTCACTATCGTGAAGAGATGATGTATCACTACGCGCATTTGTCCGTGTAGAAACCGCAGCCTAAGGACAAATAAGTAAACTCAATACACAGCTTTCTTCCACAATTGTGTATTTGTCCGTGATCACTCCATTAAATGGCAACCAATGCCCTACGTCGCACATGTACAGTGCTCGTTGTCGCAGCAGGATGAACATGACTCGAGTGTCGTTATGGGCTCGTCTAGCCTTGCAAGATTGAAATAGTGCAGACGTCATCGAGTCGGTGCTCGGCACCATTCTGGCCACCAAAAATGTACACACGTCCATCGCTATACATCACAGCACCATGTCCCACGCGTCCTCTCAACGCAGTCTCGATGCTTCCTTCGTCGGTGAAGGTAGCAGGCTGCCACTCCCATGACTTCGTGTCTAACAGAAATGAATCGCTGAATACGCTTGTAGACGCGTTAGAATCATCTCGTTGCGGATCCCAACCGCCGAATATGAGAATCTTGCCGCCACTTAAGAGCGTTGCAGAGTGTCCTGTGCGTTCTTGAGGGGGGACGCCTGTTGTGCAAGGATGAAGCCATTTCCACACTGCATCGTTTGCGCTTTTATCCACCTTTTGCAGAACATGCACCTCGTTAAAACTTTTGGAGGAATCATTGCCTCCAAAATAAACGATCTTGTCATCACCAACAGCGACGGCACTGTGATATGTGCATGCGCTAGGAGCCTTGCCTTCCACTTTCACCGTCTTCCAATGCCAGTCATCTACGATAACAAAAACAATCCCCAAGTCAAATCAGCGTTTACAATTTAAGTTATCTCGCATACTTCCATCATGTTCTGCTTACCACTGTCCAAGATGTGTACGGAACTTTGCCGGTTTCGTCCTCCACTGCCGCCAAACACCACTACCTCATTTCCAATAGCAGTACAGGTATGTCCACTTCTTGCAGAAGGAGGCGACCCACGACAAGGTGGGGGGTACCACAGAAAGCACTCTGTGTCCAATACCATGATGTCGGAAAGGATGTCGACCTCGCCTTCGATAGCCGAATTGCGCTCACCCCCAAATACAAGCAGCAAATTCTTTAAAGACAGAAAAACTGCATCATGCCACGTGCGTCTGATTGTTTCACAGTTGAGCGGAGTCGTCCAGCGGTGTGTTTTCATGTCAAACACGTGCAAGTCTCCTAGTGTTTGCTCATCATCATCAGTTCCACCGTATACCACTACGCGCTCATCTGAAATTTTGGTGGTCGAATGACCCCAACGTTCAGGTGGAGCATTTCCTTTGGACTCTACTGTCTCCCACTTGATGGCAGCTGCACAACATTTATGATCGGCTAGTCAGAATGAAAACAAAGTAGCCATAACCAGCCCTACTGCTACAAAGCAGACGCACCTTCGGGCTTAAGTTTTGGCATGCCACTGATCAACTCTTTAATGGATTGGGTGGACGAAGGGTCTGCTCGTGTCTTGAGTGTTTTCTGTCGTTTCGTGCTAGAATCGGGTGTCACTTTGCGTGAAATCGATTGCTTGGGATCGGGTGAAAAGAAGGAATCTGCATCTTTCTTCGTGTTCTTTGCTTTCTTCTTGCTCTTCATTGGGGGCGTCTTCTTCTCCATTTTTGTACTCGTTGGTTCCAGACTTTCAGCAGAGTCAGCCAATTTGATGTGGGTCGTACTCGTCTCAATAATGTCATCTCCTTTTTGCAGTACCTTTGTCATTTTCCTGCTACTCTCAGCTTCGTGGCTGCTTGAACTCAGAGAGTCGTTCAATCGCGCGAGTAGCAACGTCTGTTCCACGTCATTGAGAAAGTTTGGCCGCAATCGCTTAGCGTCTGCTTCATCGTCATTATATTTACAATCTACACTTGAATCAATCGTGCGCTTCTTACTTGGACTCGACGTAGTAATAATGGGCTGGTCAACTAAGACGTTTTGAGAACAAGATCACACAGTTACGAACAAGATCTTGCTACAGTTGAAAAGCTTCTACACGTACGTTTGGACAATACAATGTCCCCCGTAAAGTCACGACAGTGGATTGTTAGTGATCCGGCAGTAAATTCAAAGTAAATGCCCTTGAGGTTTATCGGAAGGTCCACTTCAATGCCCTCGTACGATAGCAATGGCATAGTAAAAAGCACTAAGTCTCTCTCAGGACCACTAGCTTGTTTTTCAATCTGATTTGATAATATTGTAATGAGCATTAACGTACAGCTCCATGACGCCATGGTGCCATATCTCGTGTCTCCGTACGAGCATTTCTTCTTCTTGATCCACCACGTGACGCTTACGGTCGAAAGTGGCAAGTACGTATGTTCTTTTCGGATTTTTGTTTCAAGCGATTCCTTCATGTTTTGATTGTCTGTGCAGTGGCTATCCGGGTCAAGGAGGGTGTTTCTATGGCGGTAAAGGACGTTGTTACGTCTCACAATACCGTCTTGTGTTTGTATCGGACAGAGCTCGGGAAAACAGCGCGTATCAGTCTTTCTCCCTGCCATTTTATGGCATCCGTGACTGGCACTTCAATGTGAGCTTTTTTGGTACGAGATAAGAAGGAGGAAGATTGGTAGAGTGGCCGACTACTAATGTCTATGTCGTGTGACGATAGGTGCAAAGGGTTGGAAGGGTCATGTCAATCGCGTTCCAGGTGGAGGACTGATCGGTGTTGGCACATTTACCATGGGGTTTTTGGTAAGTTGACAACGTTGTGTAGACTAAAGGCTGTGCTGATGCGTTTGTTATGCTGGCAGAGTTTCGGTTTTGAAGAGTTTCGCAACCACGTACTTCCGTTGTTGGAGAATTCAAGAGCCTTGCACCATCAGTTTGGCAATCTAACGATTCCATCGGTGATGCTAGTACCAGGGAGGCAAGATGGGGGGGGACTCACGGAGACTCGCGTATTACTCCATTGATGATCCCATGACGCTGTTCATCGTTGACAAGGTTCCTGCAACTGCAGACCACTGACCTATTTGTTGTTCTGACACTGTTGTACAAGTCCGAATGAGAAGATGCACTACAGGAGTTGTGTGAAACCTCTCAATCATTGGTACGCTGCAGTCAAAACTTGCCATGGATATGCAGCATATGCTGCCATTCGTTTGCGTTGAAGCACGCTCGAGATGAAAACCAGACACAAGACTACATAAATGCCTACAGTTTTAGAGGCTTTCGTGTTGTTCAATACAAACAACGAGCTGATAGTGTAACAACATAGTCAAGTAAGGCGCAGTCTCTGTGAAAGTAAGTGCGCACATATTTGATACCTGCTTTGTTGATCGCTAAAACGTGTAGGATGCCGAAGCAACAGTGCAATACGCTCATTTCTAATGTCCCTGTTGGTCTGGTGCTGATGCAAATTGGCAATGCTCCTGCTCTAGTAATAATCCGTTTTCTCATTGTAAAGTACAGCAAAGAAGTATGCAGATGTCTTTTAGCATGTCTTCGAATTAGCTTCCATTTTTGTGCGAAAGAAGATGAAAATCTTACTTATGCCGATAATCCAGCTATCGTTTTATAGGACCTGCCACCAACTAGCATCCACTCTCTTGTCCGGAAAGAGCGGTGCAGCGAACTTTTGTTTGTAATGAGCAGAGCTTTATATAATGGATGAAGAGATAAAGCGCAGAAGAAACACTTATCTCTGAGGGTATATTTCTCGTTCTGACATATTATCGGCCAGACGTGGATACTGTGGACGCGGGTCAAACTTGTGCGCTGATAATGGATGATACAGGTCGTGAAAGGACAGGCAGCACATAGCAGCAAGAAGAGGATTAAGATAACAAGACCGCGAAAAACACACAGTACAAGGTATCGCATCTCTTATAGGTCTCGCGGAACGCATAGAATATGTACAAGACACGAACAGCAACAAGGCCGTGTTCGTCGAGTGTAAGAAGATATTAACTCTGACAGGCCATGAGGGTGTTGAAGTTGTAGTGCAAGAGCTGTTACAGGTAAAGTGCAACTTTACCTGATTTGGCTAAGTTGGTGACAACTTGACAGATGGAACAAGGAGAGACAATAGTTACGTGAGACAAGCACATGATGACGACATGCGCTATGTGCACCTTCATCTGTTCAAGTTGTAGTGCAAGTGAATGTATGTTGTAATGTTGACAAAGTTAGCATCGAATATTCTCTACTTTTACTTCTACCTCTTTTGCACCAAGCTCATTCTTCTACACTTCTACTACCTAATTCATTCTGCAACGGTTACACAAAGGTGTGTATTGTACATACACACCTGCCACAACATTGTGGTGTAACTGTACCTTGGGTACAGTGGTGGGTGACCGTACCTAAGGTACGAAGGGTCGCATCGTGACAGAGAGCCACTATACTTAGTTAAGTATAGTGACTATGCATGTTTGGACAATATTAATAGGCTACAGAGCCAGTAAATAGTGACTAGCAATGAGTATAGATAAGGTGCTTCTATATTTAGTGCTAGAAGATAACCATCAAATAAATCTGTTCTGAGTAGCACAAGTGCTAGAGCGTCCTCTTCCTTGAAAGAAAGAAGTTGTATCTTTGATACTAGTCTCTTGGAGACGTGGTTTTTTACAACCAAAAGGCGTAGGCTTGTGAAGCTAGCCTTGGGAGGGTTAAGAACCCTAAGACGTATTAGCTCTTTGAGCTTGTCTTCCTCTGCACCTACGGCATAAGTAGCTTTGCTACAGTAGCTCTGCTACATATTCTACGAAGAAAATTGGTGGCATAAGACTTTGAGTTAACGGATTTTGGGTTGACAGTTAGATGGACATCAACAAAAGCAGACGCCTCAATTCTTTGATACCTAAAAAGCTGAGACGTGACCGCCTGTGGCGATGGCCGCATCGCAGGAAGGAGATTGCATGCGCAAGACCATTCACGCAGTATACAAGACAGCCGGATACTCACCGTTCGTGACGAAGAAGCGCTGGCGCACCTTTCTCATGGAAGAAGGCCTGACATTTGAGGAAATAGTCCGAATGACACAATTTGAAGGCTTCTGAAGTGAATAGAAAATCAGTGACTCCAAATATCAGCATTCAACGCAAAAGCTTCTCCAGGAAAAGCCAATATGGAACCAGGGCCATGGCATCGATATGATCTTCGATTTCAAGCTACCGGAATGAATGTACTTGGTGGACTACGCAATGACTTGACTGCGGCGCTACATGGCGCTGACCGTGATGAAGGGAGTATCGTACGAAGCCTACAACGACGGCCAGTTTGTGGGTTTAATCGAACGCGAAGCGAGTGTGACCAACGTGTACGGCATCCATACTGTAAATTTTTGGATCAAGAAACGGGGAACACCCAAAACCAGCACGCGCGAAGAAGTGGAATGCCTAGAAGTAATTTTTAAAAAGCCGAAGACGGTGTTAGACAATGATATACTTACGAGCAAAAAAGTCATTCACACCGTGTACGTACATTTTTTAAATGTTGTACACAGGACGACCAAGTCTATTGTGTCAGGGCAAATGCCATAACAAAGCCAAACCCTCCAGCGTTAAAAATGACAGGAAGAAATAAAACGGAGAGCTGGAACGGTTACAGCTAACGCACAGCAAACAGCGCCGAGTGTGTAGAAAGGCACCCAAGGAGTGTGATCGCCTTATCTTGATCACCACATATTGTGGCGACGCTCGTCACCCCTGACCGTGCAGCCAAAGTATGTACGCACGCAAGTGCGCGCTAAACGTAGTGCAGTTGGCCCAAACAGCTGGACCCAGAGGCAGGGCTTGGCGCTGGTGGAATAGTTAGCTGTTCCGCTGTCCACAGCAGATGTAAAGTGACGCACCGTGTAAACTTCCATAGGTCAGTATGATCACGCCAAGCCGGTGTAAAAAGACCAAGGGAGACATCGAGCCACGTTGGCGTGGCGACACAGAACTCTGACCAGTCGAAAGATACAGCTTGGAAGCTAGGAAGCACTCGTAGCATAAGTGCCGCTTCGTTTCCGCTGCGCGCAGAGTAGATATGTCGAGGTGTGCATCGCAAAGGAAGGCCAAAAGCAAGCGCACTGTACGATAGCAGGCGGAACGCGGGTCGAAAGTGCGTCTCCTCGTACACATAAGCCATTAGTCGCCGGATACTCTTGCACTGGAGTACGAATAGTTGATGTCGTCTGCGATGACGTGTGCGTCATGTAGCTGAAGTGAGTAAGGTTTTGTGGGTGTTATTTTCTCTCACACAAAGAGGGACAATTGGGTTCTGGGGACAGTGGCAAGGGACGCATTTGCTGCTTCACACGCACATCTGACGTTCGACGCAGGACAGCTCGTCTAGGTTTCTCCTCGTCTGGGTGAGGTACATTAGTGCAGAGTCCATGGAACCTTGAAGATTTGCGTGGCTTCGTGATGCAGTCTGCAGAGCTACTTGTACTGCTGGTATTCGAGGACCGGGTGATTCGGAAGTCGATATGACTACACGCAAACGCGGGAGCATCTGGACAAGCACCATCTGCATTTATAAAGTCAGCAAGACATCGAAACCTAAAGGTAGATGCAATGTGCCTACGAAAGCTGCGTTGGAATCAGCAAAAATGCAGACACTGCGCCGTTGTGTTGCGACTCTGTCGAACTAGGATGCAGACTTGAACTGGATGTTGACCTCGGAGTGGAGCCATATCGTTTTATGCGATATAGCTCCATCCGAGGTCAACATCCAGTTCAACTCACTCGACTTTACTACAACTAAAAGGAAATGGCTTCCTTTTGACTTTACTACGACTAAAAGGAAATGGCTTCCTTTTAGTCGTAGTAAAGTCGAGTGAGTAGTAAAAAGTCAAACCAAAAGTAAGGTTATGGTTTTACTCTTTCTTTAGTCTGTCCTCTTACTTTTTAAGTAGGCTTAAATGCAACTACAACAATATCTTTAGCTGTAACTGCATCTTCAACTGCATATGAAAAGCGATGCAACTACTTTCAATGTACTACAACCTATACTGCCGCCACAAATTGGACAACACATCCCGCTTTTTCAAAAGCACCGTAACATAGTAGACTTATGATGAGAAGGTCGAGACTTTTTTGAACGCCCGCGTGGGTGGCACAAACGATAATAGTACGACTCCCGGCACCGGCCACCTTCGCAAGGTTAAGGCCGATCAGCTATAAATGGAGGAGTGTAGAGCTTTTGACGCTTCTCTCAAGCTTCAATGCTGAGGACTTCCGAAGCACCATCGGAGCAAGATTGGTACATAACCTCCTTGAAAATCAGCTGAATATGCTTGGCGTTGCGTTCATAGTGACGCACAAACGCAAATAACGATTGAGCGCCGGCTGCCATTGTGCAACAACCCGTCGTGGAATTGGTACGTGTACGTTGTAGTGCCACAGTCTATATAGCACCATCGCCAGCTAGCAGAAGCCGTCCCGACGAGTGCAAGCGCGGTGAAACCATTTCAAAAAGCCTTCACAAAACACCTGTTTAAGAACTACTTTTTACGCTGCTCACCGAATTCTTATCAAATAAAATGCCCAGAAACTTGACCGTTCCTTCCCGCTGAAGCACCCGGGCCAGAAGGCTGGGAGAGGAAGCACGTCGATTTGGGGGTAGAAGCACGCATGTGCCAAGATTGAGCTTGGCTTCAGAGCCATTACAGTATATCTAAGCCAGCTCAAGCTGTTCTTGGGTGCCAGATAGCGAGCTGGACAGCAACGTCGAATCATCAGCTAAGCAAACACTGGAGGCGGTGTTGATCGTCAGTAAGTTAAAGGCCATACTTCTCATGCTATCGGAGTTTTTCCTCAGGGCGTCATTGATCTGATCCGGATTTACCTGATTAATCGCATCTTGAGCGACCGATCCCATCAACACCACTCACTTTTGCTCGAAATGTGCTCAAGCATCTTGCAGAAAAGTGTCTTCAACACGCGGCGGTGTGTCCGGTACGTTGATGGGTGGTATAACAACTCTGATATGGTGACCATTGTGCGCGCAACCATATCTCTGTCTTTCTTTGAGGTGATACTGATGTGTACATCGACCCAGCTCTTTCATAAGGACTACTGGCTCCAGCGTATGACAGGGCGGTCAGTGCCCTGGATACCAGCATATCATTCTGATTCATACCAGTATGTTGTTGGTTCTGCTCCACTCTGCTATCGGCATTTACCCACTGCTTTACAATCTGGGAGAAAGTCTAGTGGCCAGGACACTTGCTTGGTGTCCTCGAGAGCCTCTTCAGCAGTCGTCATCTTGATGATGATCGCTCTCTTGGATCAGAGTCGTTTCCTTCGTTTTCACCACCTTAGTGTGGTGCTTGGTCAGGAATGAGTGGACTCCTTGCTGGCAACTGGCCGCAAATTTCTGCACGTCGCAATTACAGTATAGAACTCCGGAGAGCGGACTCATCAAGCGTCGCAGTACAGCAGTCGAAATTGACCTCGATGCAGCCGACCACATCAAAGTATCTGCTTGTTGTGACGCCGACGAGAGGCTTGGACGAGACTGCACCAGCATGTTAATAAATCCTCATTAGCACAAGAAAGTTTGCATTGCGCTTTCAACAGCTTACGAGCACCAAACAAAACGGATTGAGACACTTATACCGGATGATGTGGCGGTGGAAGCAGAAGAAGCAGATTCGGTCGTGGCCTGCAGAGTGACGACACCCTTTCAGGAACCAGCGTGGCGAGGGAGAGTTCGCTAGGCGCTAGACCCGCTACAGGAGAAGCTGTAGCAGGGACAACAGCAGCGACCATGGTAGAGCTATCTATGATCGATTGATGAAGTGAAGTCTTCTCTGTTTCACGGCGTACCATGAAACATTAGATGGCTGCAAAAAAAGCCTGCTCCGGAAAATTGTGACTGGCAGATGACTGTGGGACAGCAAGTACTATGGAGAAGTGAAGATTGTGGGAATGGTCTCTTTACGGGGCGATCAGGCGAATCTGTGATTGTGGTAAGTCCGAGTCAAACGTGATTGGTCAATAAGATATTGCGCGGTGTGAACTAAACAATACAGATTGCGATCGTTCATAGCCGATCGAGTCGTCGGCAAATCGGATCGCGTGGTGTGGATCACATACCCTGGATCGCAATCAAGATTGAAGCGATGTGTCCTGTCATACAAGTAGGCAAGATGGTATTTTTTGGGTTTTGTGGACATAGGGTAGTATTGTATTTGCTAGGTTAGCCATAGGTAGTGTTTGTACCTTAGGCTAGTAATTGGTGTATGTATTGGCTCGCAAATAATACGTAGGTAACATCTAAGCGTTCTTATCTCTCCGAGCTGGATTGTTAATTGCCT